AAGAAACGACTGTATAGGGCTCAGCAATTGGGGGAATTGCGAGAAGATCGACATCACAACGAGACGTGGGTCTCGTAATGGGGATAACTTCCAGGGGGTGAGGGTGAAAGACAATCCCCACGTCGCCGGAGATGAGAACCGCTCTCAACAGAGGGAGGAGAAAAGAAAACTGCAAAATCGCCTTTACAATCGCCATTTGGACAGGATCAGTGAATAAATATGATATTAGTAATATTTTTGTGTTGTTATAATATTTGAAGTATAATTAGAAATATGTTCTAGGGTTTTTGAGTTTTTATATATCTTTGTTTAAAGCATATTAAGAAATTTTTTGAGAAGAGTTTTCATTATTTCGTGTTTTTTGGATATGTTCGTTTATTCATCTAGCTAGAAGATGCATCGAGATGATCCATCCAAATGAAGCATTCAAATGAATGCATCTACCTATTATTTGTTTATGTATTTGCATGTGTATTTGGATAGACCATCTAAATGCACCTTTGTTTGTTTGTGTTGTTTTTTAAGAATTTGAATCTACATCTAAATGCCTATAGTATAGAAATGACCAAAACGAACATGTTTATATCTTAATGATATTTTTATGATTTAAATTACAATTACAACTAAATATTTTTAAAAAATAATAATTTACATATATAAATAATCACTTTCTTATCATATTAAAGAAAATACAATTCTACGATTTTACGGGTTAGGCGGGAAAACAGAATTGCATGATTTTGCGTTTTATGGTTTTGGCGAAAAACATAATTCCGCTATTTTCCCTCCAAAATCATGATTTTACAGTTTTAATAGAAAACATAATTTTACGATTTAGCGGTTTTGGCAGGAAATCATGATTTTGCAATTCGAATCAGTCCTATTTTATGACTAGGGGTTTTGCGCTGTGTTTGTGAATTTAAGTTTGTGTTATAAAAATAAATTTAATATAAAATTGACCTTTTATGGTGATTGATGTATTTTATAACTGTGGATTTTAAACCCGCGTCAATTAATAATCATTATAAATTAATAAATATATTTGGTCCTAAGTTGGTACATTATAAAACCTAACACAATTTTTTAAAAAAAATCATATTAAATTATAGTCTCATCAAAATCATAAATTTATAATTATATAAACTTACCAATATTATATAGATATGTGCAAAAAACAATTAGTGAAATATAATTTGTTTTTTATTTATTTTAAATTTACATTTTTGTTGGAGTTCATTTTTATTTTTATTACAACATCAAACACTTTGAGTGTTACCATCTGGAGTTGTATCAATTTTTTTGAAAAATTTGTAAACGTGATAATTGCCTCCTTACGTATCATATGCTCTAAAAAAATATGGATTATAACGAAAAGTATTTTATATGTAAAGAATTAAAATATATAATATTTGGATAGCAAAATTGAAAAATGTCTCAGAATTCAAAATATTTGCAAATTGAAATATTTACGATTTTAAATATAAAAAGAATATCTCTATATTATGTCGAAATATTTTGTTAATGTTTTAAATTCGGTGATATTGAGTGTACTAAAGAGGTAAAAGTTAAGTTTCCAAACAATTTGAATTATTATTTTGGGGAATTTTTCAAAAAAAACGGATTACTAATCCCAATGATCTCTACTCATTAGTATAATAGACAGTTTAATTAATGTTCTTTGTAGCAATTATCCGTTGTAACCTCTCTCTCGCCCAAATTGTCAGATCACTCCGAAATTAGAACTTAAAATTGCTCTTTCCGTGTAGTCTCTCTGTTCGACAATGTTTCTCAGTCGAGTTCTTCAACTTTCATTACCCCAATTGAAAACCCTAGATTCTGTAATCGCCTTTCAGTTTTGTTTTTTCTCAGAAACTAACTAGCTACTCCTCCTACCATGGCGAGCAAAGAGATCTCCAAGATGCGTGAGCTTATCTTGCTCCGTCCGGCTAGTTACATCGGCTCAACTGAAGCACAAACCCGTAAACTTTGGGTGTATCAGAACGAAGAGATGCTTAACCGTCTGTTAACCTACGTCCCAGTACACAAATTGTACAAGGACACGAAAGCACCTTATAAAACCTTAGCTCTAACCCGAGAATTTTTCTTGTAACAAACGAAAGCACCTTTACACCATGCTTAGCTCTAACCCGAGAATTTTTATGAGGTCCATAAGTACTTTGTTGCTGATTATTTGAGCTCCACTGGCGTCTTTAGCATTCATTATCTTTCCTCGGAGAGTAAACACACCGTAATTATCATTCCCCAAGACAGACAAGCCCACCATCTATACAAAACGAGTATTAGAGTGTTGAGGTAAACCCAGTGAAATAACTGAATCTGTGCTATAGATCAAAAACACTTACAAAAGAGGTATTTCTAAATTCTCTTGTAAAACCTTTAAAAGCACCTTATAAAACCTTATATATACTTGGATCGAGTCTTCAAGTAGTAGTTACCATCCATAAGTACAAACTTAATAGATTTTATAAATTTTTCAGATTTTAAAAGGACATTTTTGAAAATAGACACCTAAATGAGGCATTTTAAAAAAAGGCATACCAAAAGAGGTATTTTTAAGTTCTAACAATTTCCCAGAATTAAATTATATGAGTAGCAACATGATAAAAATTAAACTTGTTTCAAATTGGAATAAAGAAACATGCGATAAACATTAATTAAAGACATATAGTAAAAGCAAAGATTAAAATTTGTATGTATATTAGTGTGTGATTTTATATCTGTAATATAATTGTATTTATTTTATGAGTGATCTGGTATTGTTTTTTTTTTTTCTTTTTCAAGGGGCATTTGCAAAAAAAGCCCTTTTTCCTCTATATTTTTTAAAAATGTCTCTTTCACATGTCCATTTTTAAAAATACTCTATTTTATTTACAAAATGACTATATTATCATTTTTAGTAAAGAAATAAAAATATAGAAATGAACGTAAAAGATCACATTTTCCCGCCAAAAAAAAAATCCCGCCTAAAAAGTTTTGTCGCCAAAATTTCAGAAACGAATTTTCCCGCCAAAATTACTGAAAATTAAATATTTTAAGAACTCATATCTGGTCCAACCAGGCCCCATCTACCTTCCTTGGCATCGTAAGCAAACACCTTTGAACCAGCCACCACGTGGAACTTTCCGTCAATACATGCGGAATTGTAAAAAAGGCATGTCTTCTTTTGCGACGCTGCAAGGGATGGGATCAGGATCCCAAACTTGTGTTCTTGTGTCAAACACCTCGACCGTGTTCCTAAAGGGATCATCCTCATTGTCCCCATCTGCTTTGAATTTTCCTGCTACATATATCTTTCGATCAAGAACGCTAGAAGAAACCGTAAATAGCTCCACACTCAAGCTTGGAAGCTCACGCCAAGAGTGAGTCGTGCAATCAAGAACGGAGACAGTAGAAGAGGAGGCTTTGTACATGGATTGGGATGCGCCAATGTTATAAATATTAGAACCAACCGCCACGAGACTCGAAAAGTTGGCATTAGGGAGAATGTGGAATTGGGACTTTAGCCAAAACATAGTCACTTGACTTGTTATTCTTCTTACTGGTTTGCTCAGGTTTCCGGCCGAGGGTGAACCAGATACGAGAAGAATGCATACTTAAGCACACATGTAGACAACTCTCGGTGTGGCCCAAAAGTGAGCGGATTTTGTAAAGCTCCGTTGAAGCCAGCAGAGATCGAAACCTCTTGGAAACAAGTGAGAGAGTTGGATAGTACAACCTTGAGACGCGTGCGATGATGCGCAATACCAAATCATCGGGAAGTGACGCAATTGAGATCGACGACGGCTTTTTCTTCTTATTCGTCCTTTTTCTTTTTCGGAACTGACGATACGAAAAAGCCGTTGATCGACAATATCTCCATTCTTCTTTTACTTAGGGTTAGGGATTTTGCGATCTGGCTCTCTTTCTCTCTTAGAGGAAGAAGAAGACGACTACACATTAGGTTAAAATATTGTAGGGAGATTTGAAGAGAACTTCTCAGCAAAGAAAACCCATACTGTAGAGGAGAAAGTGCATTCAAAGAAGAGGTGATCATGTTTCTCATCTACATTAGAGCACATAACACAACTAGTTTATTTTTCCAAAAATACCACAAAAGTTTTGGTTTTCCAAAAATACCACAAATACAAAAATTGATTTTCAAGGATGTAGAATTTAAATTTTTAGGTTTGGGTTCACTAATTTATATTTAGGGTATAGTTTTTAGGGGTAGGGTTTAGTGTTTAGAGATTTAGGGTTTAGTTTTGAAGGTTCAAAATTTAGTTTTAGTTTTGTGGTATTTTTGGAAAAACATATATTTTTGTGGTATTTTTGGAAAATAAACTCATTTTTGTGGTATTTATGAGAATTGCCCTCAAAATTAATTAGTTTTAGTTTACAATTAAGATTTTTTTATAAATACTAATCATGTGACCCTTTGCCTCCTAGAAAATAAAAACAAAAAATTGTGGGTTCAAAGAATGAACTTTTTTCTTTAACATTCCATGGTGGGGGCAATGTTTTTAGGGCAATTCTCATAAATACCACTAAAATGATTTTTTCTAAAAATAACATTATTAGTTTTATTTTTTAAAAATACCATTATTTTTTTATTTTTTTTCTAAAAATACCATAAAACTATCACTTTTTTTTTTATTTCATCTTAGTTTATGTCTGATTTTAAAAATGCAAAACACGATACAAAAATTTTATAAACTTGAATCACTTTTTAAAAATAAAAGATATGAATTATAATTGAAAGAGATAAAGAAAAAATTAATAATAAAAAAATATTCAACAACTCATATTTTGTTCTCTTTCCACTTCACGATCCATACGTTCTATCCAAAATAAAGTTAAAATAGACGTTAATTTTTTTATATACTAGTATTTGACCTGCGGTATACCGTGGGTTTACTTTTTCTAATCAAACTTTTATATAAATAGTTTTTGAATGTTTTGTTTGAATTGTAAATGAGCATTAGTAAATTATTTTTATAAAAATGCGAGTTAAATGTTTGAGAAAATATATATATATTAATTTTGTAAAAATAATAAATATAGGATAAATGTAGAGCAAATTTTTTGGGGTGGTGTTATTCAATGATGGATTTTAATAGAATTGAAATCCAACACTAATCCAGTGTTATTCAACTAATGATTATAAATCTAACGTTAAAATTTGGTGTTATTAGATTCTATACTTCATTACATTTTAAAAGTTTGGTGTTATTCAATTGTGGGAGTTACTTTAAGGTTTAAGAGAGAAAGAAGCAGAGATCGAGAAAGCCACACGTCGTCACGCCGAGCTAGAAGCACGTGCGGCTCAGATCGAAACAGAGGCACGTGCCTGGCAAATGAGAGCGGCGGCGAGAGAAGTCGAAGCCACGTCGTTACAAGCTCAATTGCAGCAAGCCGTAGTAATAGCTCACGGCGGCGGAATTATTACGACGGCGGAGCCACAATCGGGAAGCGTAGACGGTGTGGATGAAGCTGAAGACGCCGAATCGGCTTACGTTGATCCAGATCGGTACGAAATAATCGAGCCGAGATGTAGGATTTGCCGGCGGCGATCGGCGACGGTGTTGGCTTTGCCGTGTCGTCATTTGGTTCTGTGTAAAGAATGCGACGGCTCCGTGAGAATTTGTCCGCTATGCCTTAGCACGAAGAATTCAGGCGTGGAGGTTTTCTATTCTTGATGGGCTCATTCTATAATGGGCTTATCAGGCCCAGCCAAATATAATTTTTATATTAAAACAAATTTATATATAAACTAAATTTATCATTTTTATAAAGTGTACTGTTGAGTCTCATTCTTGAATAGCTTAAGAGGTTTAATGTACATAGCCACATTGGTTTTATTTTATTTTTGGTTTTTAGAAATTCTTTTGATATCGTAATAAATCAACCTTGACTGTTAAATTTATTTATTTTACACATATAGCATTTAATATCGATATGATTTATGATATTTTAGCTGATGTTGAGGCATGATTTAGTATTATTTTCAAATGTTTTGTATTGTTATAATATTTGTATTATAATTAGGAATATCTTCTAGGGTTTTTGGGATTTTATATATTTTTGTATAAAGCATCTTTAGAAAACATTTAGAGATTTTTTTCATTGTTTCTTGTTTTTGGTCGATCTTAATATTGTGATTAATGTATTTTTTGGAACTTCAAACTAAACGAATAATTATCTTAGTTTTTGAGATATATTCATAATCAAGGGATCCTACAGTCTATAACCATAAACTTTTGCTATGTCAATTTGTTTCTATGAAATTTTAATATACAAGAAAGAAATGTAGAATCTCTATAAATAACTCTTTTTAAAAAACAATACTTCTTGAATTCCTTTTTCGAAAACCACTGAGTAATATATGCTCCTTTAGTCCTTGTCATGAGATGTAAATTCAATTTGGAAGAAAAGGAATAATAATTGTGAGAAACTCGTGACTTCCACATAGTGCCATAGCCAAATTAGCCATATACGACCTACAAAGTCTATACGCTCATTCCATGCCTTTTTCAAACTAATAATAGTCCATCCATGCCAATTCACCTTTTCCAAACTAATAAATAATAATAGTCCATCCATGCCAATCTTCACCTAGATAAGTTTTCAATTTTGTTTGTTTATTTTTGTATGAATGCTAAATTTTATTCATAAAAAACCTTTATTACATTATATGCTTCTTTGTTCTTAGAGTCTTAACCTTACACTTGTGTGAAAGAGAGTATAATTAAAGACTAAAAACATTCGGACCCCTAGATGTGTCTTTGCGAACCACACTTGCAAAGCGTCTGCAAGTTTGCCATTGCTCTGTTTTAAAACCGTCGATTTGTTTGTTTAAACTTGTTTGTTTATTTTCATCTTTTTCTGTAATATATATATATATATATATATACCTAGTTCTAGTTATGCAAATATATATATATATATATATATAGTTATGCAATCGCAGTTGAAAAAAAAAGAAGACAATAACAACGTGTAGAAGAGATATACAAACTGGTGAGTCAAGACAAATAAATCGATAAACCAGAGTGACCAAAACTATAAAATTTTCTATCCAATTTGATTTATCAATTTTCTAGGAACATAAGGCGGACTTGTAAAAGTGCTAATAATCTCCAAAGAGCAACATAAAATGAGCTGCAATTGGACCTAAAGAATGTTTATAAATTATAATGATAGGGTGTTAGTACTGATCTCGACCAACACTATTAAAGTGAGGTTGATATAGATTATGTCATTATGCTAAATGAAAATTAAAATACAAATAAATAAGATCCAACAAATTGACGTTGGGCCTAATCTGGGCTTATATCTGATCTCGGGAAAGTTGGGGCAAACGTTCACATGCAAAACTTAGTGGTCCAAAATGATAATAATTTTTTTGGCCCAAATAGATAAACAAAAATTAGCCCAATATTACAAATTTGACCAATACTTCAAACTTCAAACTATATTCATAGTTCATTCTCCGTGATTTGAGGTTTGTAAAGTTGGTAAACACTATCTGATTTTTTTATTTACAGTATTCATAATATTTCTATAAAAAAAATTGTTGTCACAAATGCACTTCAATTTATCTATTGATCAAAATAATATAAGTTGGAAAAACCTAGTCCATAAAATAATTTGTCCATATATGCGGGGTGTTTAGCTAATACTCAAAACTCGTGTTTAAGAGTAAAACGTTATATGGTTGATGGTTGATGGTTGATCCAAAACCAAAAGTTGTTGAATAGGTATTAGGCTAGTAGCCAACCTAATGTTATGGAATCTCCAATAGAGCAAACGTGTTCTTGGATTTATCAATTTTGACAAAATATTTTACTCAATTTACTAATTTGAAAAGATCTCTATTAGGTCCATTTGTTTTTATAATGCATTTGGTACATAAACCTCAATATATACACCAATAATGGCCAATGGTGCGTCACAATTGATTCGCTTCTTTTATAAAACACATCACATGTAACGAACTCACCAACTGGGCAAAAGCAATTATAAGTTTAATTATGTTTCATTATTATTATAAATAAAAATCTAGAAACTATCATATGAACACATGTGCCTAGATTTTTTACAGGGATTGTCTCATTATATTCGTTCGTTATTACGAGTGATTATATGAAAATTAATCAATGACAATCTTTCTATTATTATTGTTTTCGTTTCCTATTTCTTTGAGATTATATATAGTTTTGCAAAAAGGAAATAATACCATTCTGTTGGCGAAATTCGTATCAGTTTTTAATCGGACGGTCAAAAAGTGATCGAAAGGCTTATAAATTATTGGCCGTTAGATTGTGAAAACAACAGATGATACTAGATTCATTGTGAAGCAGGCAAATTCTGGTCGGTCAGGTCTTACGTGTCTTGATTTGTCTAAGCCTTGGTTTTACACGTGTACTATAGACATCCAATATCTGAGGACAACGAATGTAAAATACCATTATTATATTTTTGTAATAAAAACCGATTTGTTACGTCGGTCTAACTATTTCAATTATCTATACTAGTATAATCGCAGCATTTTTTATGACGGATGGATAAAAAAACTTTCGAGTATATCAGATATCTGACCCATTTTAAAAATTATTTCACAAAAAAATTTGTTGGGTCGGGTTATATTTAACCCAACTCATACACCGGATATTCCATATTTAATAATTTAGATTTTTAGAAGATTTGATTAAGATTTATAATTATGATTCTCCTATCATCTTTGTTTGATTTGTTTTTAACTGTTTTGAATCATCATATAATACATAAAGTAAAAAAAAAATCAATTTTTTTTCTACATATACTGTGATTCGAAATTTTAAAAACGGACATATATTATCCAATTGACGAAAATGTGTGTTCAACGTTCTACATCGATTAAAATATTTAGACAATGATTCAGAATCATATCATAAATAAGAACATTAATAAAATAAATGAGTTTTTTGGCAGGATGAGTTTGGCGGGACGGGTTTTTGAATCAACAATAATAAAAAAAATTAAAATATCATTAATCCGCCGCTTCAATGCGGATTTAATCCTTATTTTTTTAATACAAATCACAGGACGTGTTAAGAAATTACGGAACGGGTTATATTTCGAAAATGATTTATATGGCGGACGAATTTGAATCAATATTTATATACCGCTTTAATACGGGTTAAATCCTCAGTTTATTAATAATTATCTCGTGGACTCGTGGTATACCGTTACTTAATAACAGTTGTAAACTATAATATAAAATAAATATGTTATAAGGAGATACAATTTACAAAATATTTTTATACTAACTTTAAAATTAAATCATCCCGCGGATTAAAATCTAGTAGTATTATATAAGTATCTACTATCTTGAAACAAAAAGTGGTATATTAATATCTTGACAAATTGTTTGGTAAACTTTAATTTTCTTTTTGGGTTTAATCGGTGAACTTATTTGTTCGTCAATCGTCACTTATTTGTTCGACTCGAATTTATTCATTTATGTTATGTACTATATTTCTGAGGTTTCAAGAATATTATTATTGATTTATGATTTTACCACTATATATGTTTCACATATATTTTGACTCTCTATAAGATCATCTAGCAAAATGAACCTATATTTATTGAATAACATCTAAAGTCAATATATTTTTCTCTCTATGCTAAGTATGTTCGAACACTTGGAAAAAAGTAGGTTCAACCACAAAAAAATGTTGTCCTTCTTGGCAACAAGTCTTGCCACATTTTCTAATATTTAATTTGAAAAGAAGAAAGTTTCACAAATGACAACTGAGTCTACTCTAGGGGCGATGGATTCCCGGGAAATGCCCGGCAAAGAGGAGTGGTTGATGAAATAAACAAACCTCGTTAAAAAAAAAAGAGCACTTTTGCTATTTTAAAACTCTAGTTCCTTATTTTAGTTGCTTAGGTGAAAATCTAGAAGCATACATTATTGGAAATGACATCACCATGTTGAATTTTTTTGCCAGACTGATACACAAAAGTTACTCATGCGTCACGACTCACGAGTCCATTTAAAAGTTTGTATGATTCAAATCAGAGAGAAAACATCAATTCCATAATTTATTAATTAAACCTAGAGAATTTCTTTGGTTTGGCTACACACGCAAAGAATTTTTAACGTAAGCTTATAGTATTTGCAAGCACTTTAGCTTTTCTTGTTACGAGTATCAATCCGTAAATGATGTTATATGAATGAAAAGAACACTAAACGAGAATGTAAAAGTTTGAACAACTCAAATTCAGGTTAAACGTATAAGTGTACAAGATTAAGTTTGTTATTTACACATGTATAAAAAAATCAAGTATCATCGACACTAGTTATAGTGAGAGCGGTTCTGCGGAATTAAGCAAACAATTCGAGGCAATCAATGGCAGGACAGGGAAGGGAAGAGTAAATACGTACTTCAAAATATGGGACCTATACCCATGGATTTGGGCGGTGAGTCCACGTCATTTAGTGAGTAAGAATTAAATATTTTTACCACGAATTTTATGAAAGAATAGTGGAAAAGACTAGAGAGGAGATAGAATAATTTAAAATGAATTTGTGAAAAAGTGAAAATACAGATGAAGGCCGACGTAAGGAAGCCATGTTTTTATTTTTATTTCTAGGTGATATATAGATTTTTTTTGTTTTTTTAAATATATATAGATATTGTATGTATATATCATTGAGTAATAGTGACCCTTATTTGAAAAATCGCTAGGCGCTAGTCGGGCGCTCGGCATGGGCCTAGCGATTAATCGGAAAATCGGATTAAAATCGGAGATTAATCAGGGATTAGTTTTAGGGTTATTTTAATATTTTTAAAACATATTAATCCAATATTATTTTTAAAATTGCAGTAAACACATAAAAATGTATTTTTGAGACAAATATTTATGATTTTTATTAAAATATGAACATAAATTATTGTAAAACATTACAAACTCCCAATTCAAATGATTGAATAACAAAAATAAAAAGTTTTTTTATACTGGCAATCTAAAAATAATCGGGGTATGTAAGATTAGGCGGGGAATAATCGGATTAGGCTGGGAATAATCGGATTAGGCGGAGAGTAATCGGGTGACTGATTTCTTTAAGGGATTAATCATTAATCGAGGCGGATAGGGTGGGCCTAGCGATTAAGCGGGGAGTAATCGGGTCTAAGCGGGGATTTTTAGAACAGGGATAGTGACACACTATTATCACCACAAGCAATATTTTGACATACTATTAATAATAATAATTAATGTTTAAGTGATAAAAAAATATGTTTACTGCATTTTGTATCATTATTAAATTATATTTGTCACCAATGGGATCCATCAATTTGAACTGAAATTGAGGAGGAAAATAAGTAATTTTAGAAATATTTGAAAATAGATATTGTATGTATATAATTAGGTAGGTTTTAGTTTTAGTTTTTTTTTTTTTTTTGAAAAAGAATTAGGTAGGTTTTAGTTCGGAGATTGAAACAGAAACAAGTGGGTTTCGATAACATCGGAGCCTTACGCAAGTGTACGACGTCAACTTATTAAAAATATTTGCTTGCACGTATTCCTTAGCTCGTGTAAGGTGTATCACACTCCAAGACCCTCTTATTTTCTTCCCATCATCAATCAATAAATTAGTATAGTATAATTTATCAAATTTGAGTGGGTTTCGGTAACATCGGAAACTCTTATATTTTGTATTTTGTTGGCAATTTGCTAACTATTCATTCATACACGAGCTTGCCAACCAAGGCTTAACTATTTTACAAGTTTCGGTTAACACACGACGCATGTAATTTTTTGGTTTGACAAAAATTGAAATAAATGACATTTTGCGGTGTAACCAACAATTGGGACGGTGATGGTGACTCGGAGGGTGTTAATGGTGTGGACTTTAAAGTTCGTTTGAAGGACGTTGTAACTTACCAAATATATCACCATTTTAAGAATTTTATTTATAAAAGTTAAAATGCAAACTTTTGGAATAATGATATGACTTTTTTTTTCGTTTCTCATTCATGGATCGATCACATAATTTATTGAGTTAATATTTACAAACAAGAGATTTTGCCATTTTGCTGAGTATGAAATATCTTCCTCAAACTCAATAAAAATGTAAGGTTATACACATGCCGACTCAATTATTGACGAGACCCGGTTCTAGACCTGTCCCAAAGAAATTAAGACCCTTAGACAAAAACAAATTTTTTTGTCTATTATTATAATTTTAAAAAAATACCAAATTTGTTTTCAAATAATTGTAGTTTTTAATTATAGAAATGTTATTTTCTTAAACTTGAATCTTTTCATATTGGTTTTAACAAAATTTGGAATTTTTAAGGTATAATTTTTTATTTAGTTGGTTATTTTATAAAAAAAGTTGGGATTTTTGTATATATATAAAAAAAAAGACCCTAAAACCCTGTGCCCTAGCACTCCTAGCACATCTGCTAAGCCGGGCCTGGTTATACAAATACTCTCATTTTAATATTATAACATACCATTCATTACCAAATGGAACTACACCGCTTTCATCGAAATTCTTATTTGTTGTTTTCGATTCCACTATTTCTACAAGGTCCACACTATTATTGGAGAGATTCAAACTACTATTGTTTACTTACTATAAAAACCAAAATCACACACCTATTCTACATTTAAAAAACACCGACCTCATTGCACCACTACTATTTGTAGTTGTAACCTACGTTGCACGGAATCGCCGGAGAAGTGTCGATTTCCGCTCCGGAATCGGAAACGGGAGCGGAATCGCTCGGAATCGGCTTGGAATCGCGATTCCCTAAATGAGTCTTTTGGAATAGTGGTGGAAGCGTAAGATTGTGAGTGGGAAGCGTCGGGGATAGATTGGAAGCGTTGTTTGCCTTACCAATATTCAAAAAAAAAAGGAAAAAAATACAGAAGAAAGACGGTGATTAGGGCTTCTAGAGGAAGAAGATGACTCTTCAAGGAAATTACACATTTACCCTTCTTCTTTTAAGTAAAAAAAATAATTTTGGAAGTTTCCAAAGCTCGAACACTCGACCTGAGAGAATATTAAAACTGTCCATGCCACTATACTACAACAAGACTTGATATAGTTGTCGATTGTAACGTTATATAAGCCTAATTTTATAAAACCCTATAGAATTTCTTCTCTGCTATTTATGTCTAATTTTAAGGTTTTTAAATTTAGTTTTCAACTAATTTATTCTAATATTATTTTCTATCATGATTGTAATCTAATATGATTTTATGTTTGGTATTTATGATACATATATATATATGCTTCCAACACGTACTCGCTTCCTAATTTTTTAAAAAATTTCGCTTCGGCATTTCCAAACGCTTCCGTTTCCGCGTACCCGCTTCCAATTCTATGCAGCTTAGGTTGTAACCTCACAAAGCACCTCCCTCAAAAGTCTTCGCCATAACAACGTCACCCACCACGGAAATTCATAAAGCAAACAAAACGACAATTTTTTAAACCTTTTTTTGTTTTTTAGATTCACAAATTTTTTAATTCTTGATTTAATTAAAAATTTAAGTTACGAAATTATTTTAACATTTTGTCGCGATATTAGAAGAAGCAGACACAACACAAGTAGTAGAAGTGGTGTAGTGATTACGGTAACGCTTATTCCAAAAACCCCACGCGCGTGGGGCCCACCTCTCCCCCGAATCCCCATGATTTTCTTTAACGTCTCTCGAGTGCTGGTGGGACCCTTGTTTTATGGAACCGTGGTGAAGTTTACTTATTTGCATTTGTGACCCTTCTATTTCTCATAATTACAGTATTGCCGCTATTTTGTTGCTTCCTTCTTGTTTTTGTTACCTTAAAACTTTTTTTGAATGCCTTATTAGAAAAGTTAATTCTCTTTGGACGGATGTGATCACTATTTTACTGTGGCATCACTGGTACTAACAGTGGTTAAATGAGAACTAATTATTGATCTAATGTCTGTTAGAATTATAGCTGTATATATTGATTGAATCCATAAAAATTAGCTAGTAGAAATTATTATCTTTAAATTGTTAGTAGGATCCATCCACATACTATTTTAATAATCTGATTAGTAGAATATATATTTTTCAAAGAGATTAATATGTTAGATAGTAAATTCTATCATTTTAATTCTAAAATCAATATAGATAAAATTTATAAATAAATAAATACTGATTTACGCGTATTTAAACATTATGTGTGTAACATAATATAAATATTCTCATAAAATAACCTATTACGTAATTTAATTAAAAAATTTTATGATTATACCATTTTATTTATTTACTTTAATAATTTTTTGACTATCTAATGCATATGTCCTTAAATATATTGTTAAAAATGCAGAAACTTTTTTACAGTAATTACCAAATTTTCCTTAATTTTCAAACTTATGTAACTTTTTTCATGTGTTGAAAAATCAAAGTTAGTAATTTAACTTTAATGATGTGTCTGCGTAGAAAAACAAGAAAAAAAAGTTAATAATTAAACTAAAAAGCAAATGTTGAAAAATTAACTTTTTTACTTGGCTCTCTGGAAAGTTCCTCAAAAACCAAAAGACAAATTGAATAATTATTGTGATGTTGTAAAGACTTTTACTACATTCAAAAATTCTCACAATTAATTATTTACTAATAAGATTTTTCATTTCTTTTTTTTCTCTACAAACTTAACAGTCCTTTTTTTCTCTTTAATTGCACTAGTTTTTTTAAAGTCCCAATAATAAAACTTTACTTGGAATGTAACATTTTTCAATTAATTAAGTATTTCTTTTAAGATTATTTATTTTCTATTTATATATCACCTTTACGATTCATTGATTGTTCAATATAAAATATATATATATTTCATTTAATATAAACAACAATTCAACAAAAATAAAAACATTCAAAAAAAATATATGTTTTACTATTAATAGTGAAATCAATATAAAACAACAATAGTCAATAAAGAAAATTCTACACAAAACAAATTAGCACATAATAGTGAATCATTAATCATTCAAAAATTAGAGAAAATCATAAATTTTAAAGCATACCAATACAAAAAAATATTCCAACAAATTTTAAATTTAAATTAATACAACAAACTATTCATAGAAGATCACTAACATTATAAATACAATGACCAATGGAGTTTTAACTTGCAAATCGAACAAGTACTATGTTTTCCAAGTTTTGGTTAGCTTATCACACTTTTTATTTATGCTTTTGGGTACAAAATTTTGACATAAAATAAATAAATATAAATAAATTTATTTGTTTCAAATATTTATCTATTAGTTTATTTTTAAACTTTTTAATTTTTTTAATAAATCTTTTTGTTATGTTATTAAAATAATATTCACAACTTTTACAGCCACAACTTATACAATAGTATTTACTAATTAGACTTTTAAAAATATTTTAAAGTTACAGCCATAATTTTTACAGTCAAATTCTCTGTAACCAAAAGTTTACAGTAAAAAATTTATAGTAAAAGTCTTTACTAATCTTCTTTTTAAGTCATGAAAAAATTCATTTTCTAACGCCTCTCTCAATTATTATTCCTTATTATGTGTCGAATAAAGTATATTTCTCAAAAAGAAAATAACAAAAGTGGTTTTCGATTTCTTGTACTTTCAAAATTAGCATAAAAAGTTTACAAAAGCCAATAGATTCTCCTCTCTCAAAATTCGCCCCTTGTTTTATAATTCCTCTCTCTTAAACCCCAAAAAAAAAAAAAAGATATTTTTTGCTATAAAATCCCACTTCACACTTCCTTCACATCAACAAAACCTCTCTCTTTCACTTTCTCTCTAAAAACCAGAAAGAAAAAAATGGAGGTTTCATCGAGAAAGCCTTATTTCATCGAAGAAGAAGAAGATGATAATTTGGCTTCTTCTTTAACAGAAATGGAAGCTGGGTTTTCTGGTAACAATAATAATCATGGAAATCCCCAAAACGGCGTCGTTTCAAGCCGTTTCTCTTACGTTAGAATAAACAGTCTCAGGAACACTTGTAATAATTATTACAATCAATACTCTGTTTCGTCTCCGAGATCTGTTGTGTCTGGAAGATTTCATGATTTCAGATTCGATAATCAACAACCTCATTTCTTGGATTCGTGTTTCCTCTGTAAGAAACCTCTTGGTGACAACAGAGACATCTTTATGTACAGGTAACTTTTGAGATCTGTAACATCAGATCTGAGTTTTTTTTTTTTTTTCAATTTCTCTCACTTTTTTAGTCGAATTTATTAAAAATGAATATTTTTTTCGAATACCCATTTCTTCAATCTTCTGATTAATCAATTTAAACGATTCATGGGTCTGATTTCAAATTCCTCTGCTTTTGGTCGAAAACCTAGAAAAAGAACAGATTTTTGAGCGACCCATTTCTTGAATTTTGTTGTTTCATGGGTCTGATCTATAGTTTTTGATTTTGTGAATTTTTGCAGAGGAGACACACCGTTTTGCAGTGAAGAGTGTAGACAAGAACAGATAGAGAGAGATGAAGCAAAAGAGAAGAAACAGAATTTGTCTTATTCTGTGAAATCAGCTATGAGGAGGAAAGAACAATCTTCCCCAACTAGATCTCGTGATTATGCTTTTTACAATGGAACTGTTGCTGCTGCTTAAATTATATAAATCCAGACTTTGGTTATTACGTAAGTATTAATTAGGTTAAGAAAAAAAGAAAGAAAGAATAAGCTATATTTTATCTAACGCTATGAAGCTGGTTTTGTTTTGGATTCTCTCTCTCGAGATCTTGAGATCTTTTTAACTTTAGCTTCAAGTCTTGTGAAAAGAGGAAAGCTAAAGATCCTTTAATTTTCTTTTCTTTTTTTGTAAGAGGAAAAAGAGTTTCTTGACTTGAAATTTTGGGAGTATGAGAAGAGAAAATGTAAATGCCTATGTGGATTATGTCCATGGCATGTTTGAGTAAATTTTCTTGTTTTTTCTACTTCGGTAAAATTGTCTTTCGAGGAATATACAGATGTAAAATCGAATTAATATGTTGAATGAACCATGAGAATATATACGAGAAAAAAAAAACACTACAAGAGTAAGCCATTTCTTTTTACTTGCTTAAATGACGTTTGAAATCATGAATTCGAATGGAGCATCAATGATAGTTTAATTTGGAAGTCCGCAAAAAACTTTTTTTCTCTCTGCTTTATCTCTTCGCCGTTGCTTCCGTCAAGCTCGTGACCGGCGCGTGGCGGCTCTCATAGCGCCGGCGTCGGTCTCCTCCGTAACTTTTCGTTGTAGTTTTCGATTCTCTCTTAGTTTGTGTTGGTGGTGGTCTCGTTCTGGTCGTGGGCAAGGTGAAGAGGCTCTTTTGAAATCTCAGATCTGTTTGGATATTGGTCTAGAATCTCGCAATTTGTAGAACTATCTGTCCATGGAGCTGGTGGAGTCGTCTTTTTCTCTCTCACCACTTGGTGTAGAGCAGCGGCTTGCTTCAGGTGGGGTTGTGGTTTAATGCGAAGTTTCAGATCTGTTGCTCGGTGAGGTTTCTAAGTGGTAGTGCTTCCCTTGCCTTTGTACTTTTGGCCTGCGTTTGGGGAGTTCTTTGGTTTAGTTCGAGTTAGATTTTGTGTGCGTTTTGGAAGCGGTCGGAGCGGCTAGTTCTTGTAGTCGCTCAAGTGGTTTTAATGTCTCTATGCCGCCCTTGTCTCTCCTTTCGCCCTTGGTTTACTCGTTCAGCCTTTGGCTCCCTCTTGTCTCGCTCCCTTCCTTTGCAGAAGCTTCGTTTTGTTTGTTGTTGCGCTAGTTTTCTTAAGTGTGCATTTGTTTCTTCTTCTTGGTGTTGTTCGCTGTGGATGATAGCTGTCTTGTTCTTTCGTCGTATTCGTTTGAGTTCGGTGATGCGTGAGAGGTTTAGCTTCGCTCCTTGTCCTTGCGTTTCAGATTGGTTTGGATCTGATCGCGTTTGAAGTCTTCTACCTAGACGTTAATGGTTAATGGGCGCTTTGGTCGCCGTCGTCGCATCCGGAAGCGTTTTTGAGTTTCTCAAGTGATCTTGCTTCCCGGGTTATGAAGTCTTGGTTCCGGTTTTGAGAGATCAGCTCTCATCTTGATAGGAGGTTGTTGATGTTATCTTCGGGTTGGCCGTGGGCAGCCGTGGTAAATCTCATTCGTAGGTGCAACGGAAGAAGAGGTCTTTTTGCCTCTTAAGTACTAGTGTCTTTTGGTTGGTTATTGCCTTGTTGCTTCTGTGTTTAGTTTAAGGGTTCATCAACTTTCGTTTTGGCTTGAGTTTTTATGCTTTTTGTGTCATAGTGTCTTTAGTTTCCCTTACATAGGGCCTAGTTTCCGGAGAATTCTCGTTTTCCTCTGGCTTTGTCTCCGGGGATTTACCGTTGTCCGCCGGCTTTGCTTCCCTCTTTTGGGCGTTGTATTCTACTTTGGTTCTACGACAAATTTATCAATAAAATTTCAAGTGACAAAAAAAAAATGACGTTTGAAATTGATTCTTTTTGTGGTAAGATTTGGTGACTTGCGAAAAGTGGAAACTAAAGGTATAAAATATCTTTTTCCTTCAAATGCTTTTGGTAGTACAGTTTTCTTTTTCTTCACGAAATGGTAGTACAATATTTTCCTAAACAAATATGAGCAGTGGACCAGAAACTCATATAAATTGAAGTAACTTATAAAATGAATAAATAAAAATAGTTTTTCTCTCTTTCTAAAAAATACAATTTGTATAAAATGCAATAATGTTTAAAACGTATAAGGTTTCATGATAAATTCCAAACAACAACATTGCACTTGCATTCCTACAAAAATATGAGAGTAGCGACTCCACCATACTCATTTATAATGGTCCACACTATTAATTAGAACTTGTAACAAATAATTTGCATATATCCAATAAATATTTATCATCGAAAACTTTGGCTAAAATGTTACGCTATCAACAGCAAATTACACTCTTAAAACCTGATCTCAATGATTCTCTCAATCACCGTATTAAATTTCATTTATAAACACACAATAAGATACATTTTCTCTACTAATCATCTCACAATAAACCAACAAATTGCATAAACTTATTTATCTATTAAAATCTGCAAAAAACTTCTAAACTCAAAATCATCCTCTGACACTAACCCCTCCTCTCAAACTTTGTTTCTCAGGTTTTGCAACTTGTCTCGTCCTTACCTGACTACTTTCCTTAGCCGTAGCCATCGGATAATCTTCATTATCGGATTCTTCGATAATCTTTTTCAATCCTTCTACTACAATTTCCATCGCGGGTCGCTCTTTATCGTTCTTTTTCAGACAAAGATCAGCCAATTTAGCCAAACTCCTAGCTCCAGCAGCTGGATAATTGTTGCGTAGCCGAGGGTCAACGATCATGCTGAAGCGTTGACTATCAGCAGGATACTCTTTGACCCAATCCAATAGTCTTCGTTCAGCCACTGGCTTGTTCCTCTCAATGGTTCGGCGTCCGGTTATGATCTCGTAGAGCACAACACCGAAGCTATAGACATCGCTCTTTAACCGAAGATGACCGGTTTGCACGTATTCCGGAGCTGCATAGCCGTGTGTACCAACTCTCTATACATTGAAAGAAGAAGAACTGTTAAACTTTGTAAGAGATTCATCACTTTAAAGTACAAGTGAGCTTATATATACACAGTTATGTATCAAACCAAACTTACTGCGGTAGTGACATGAGTATTGTCGCCCTCAGGTCCTTCTCTGGCAAGCCCAAAGTCTGATAATTTCGGACAGAATTCATGGTCTAAGAGCACATTAGACGATTTGAAATCTCGATAGATAACCTGCAGCCAAATAAACAAGACATGATCATCCAATATTTTCATTAAACACACATCGCGACAAATTGGCGAAAATCAAACCTAAATTTCATCCCCAAACGATTACAACATTGTTCACAAAAAGTCTCAATCCTAATCTACTAATCATCCCTCTATGACCACATTTACATATAACTTCACTAATGTTTAACATTGTGCCTGTCCTAAAATATCAAGAATAATCAAAAGGGTCTATCTAAAACCAGATTTCCTCTAATGGGCTTTAATATTTTACCTTAAGTTCATGTAAATAAGCCAATCCTTCAGCTGCACCAAGCATGATCTCGAGTCTTTTTTTCCACGGTAATGTGTGTGATCGACGTGGGAAGAGATGGTCCTCTAAACTTCGATTCGACATATACTCATAAACCAAAAGCCTCTCGATCCCACTCTCCCCGTCTTCCGAGCAATAACCTATGAGCTTCACAACGTTCGGATGATTCACTACTCCAAGAAACTGAACTTCTGCTAGCCATTGCTTGTGACCCTAATACACCATTCAAACACAGAGAAGGGAAAATTCAAAACTTTTGAAGAAAATTTCAGAATTGACATTACTAAAGAAACAAAGGGACAAAGTTTACTTAATAAATGCATCCATTGACTCATACTTACTCTTCTATTTGACTATTCTAAATCTTTATTTCAAGATTACGAAATTTCTTCGACTTTACTTCAAAAAAGTGACAAAATTTGAATTTGCTTCATAATTGCATCAATCTAAACTTCTTCTATTTCACGATTCTAAGCAGTTTTTCTTCTTCCAGAATTCACTTCAATATTAACATCAAACCAACTTTGAAGAATCTCTTAGCTTCAATTTATTGCTTAATTATATCCTAATGATTAGATTAGCAACAAAACAGAGTTTAGACAAGAAAGTGATCCTTTTTTTTACCTGTAAACCTTGTCGATTGAGTTTCTTAATGGCGACGACAAGTGGAGGATCAGAATCTCCATTGTTGAGAATCTTTCCTTTATAAACAATACCAAATCCACCTTCACCGATCGCAAGCTTTCTGCTGAACCCATAAGTGGCTTTACTAAGTTCTTCGTAAGTGAAAACCCTAAGATTTTGTTCTCTCTCTGTATACAAATCTTTGATACTTCTTGGAGAAGGCAACGACCTTGGCGTCTGGAGATTAAACGACGACGTTTCACTCCGATTAGTCAGTTCTGGAGCTGAGTTTTGTAACAATTCTTTACCTTTTCTTTTGTTCTTTTTGTTGTTGTTGTTGTTGTCTTTCTGTTGATTTCTGGATTTGGGTTTCTTTGATTTGAACAAGAACAGACAATTCATGTCTTAAGAAGAGATACAAGAATAAAAAGATTGAAACTTTATGAAGAAAACACAAAAATTAATTACTTTAGTTAAACCCACAAAATGTACTAATAGTTTCCTTTTTTGGGTTTCTCAAGTTCTGAAATTAAGAAAATGGAACAAAGAAATTTGAAGGGTTTTTCTTTGGGTTAGATTGAGTAATGAATTGTGGAAGAAGAGTATGAACACAGATCTATTTGACTAGAAAAGAGATTTTTTTCCAGGAAATTGAAGGAGAGAGACAGCAAAACTAAAAGCCAGAGTATAACAAGACTCTTTTTGTTTGTCGAGAAAACAAATTATGAAGGAAAAAGACACAAAACGTTACGCGATTCCTTAGAAGATAAGGAGAGAAAGAAGAGAAGAAATCGTGTTTTAACAAAAAAGAAAACAGAAGAAATCGCGTCCGTACGGATTACACGTTGAAAAGTATGTGTGAAAGACTCATACATTTCTAGACTCTGTATTAATTGTATAGGTGTAACGTTTTGAAATGATTTATGGAATTTTTGAATGAATTTATTTTAGCCTAATAGAAATGTCAAATTCGTTTTATTTTACTAATTTCATATTCTACATTTTTATTGGAAAATTGCACAATATCATAAAATAAATATGAAATTTTGGCTAATAACATCTATCTTCTACATATTAATGACGTGACAAATCCACAATTATTCTCATTTTTTATTTTATTTTTAGTTTATGTTTATTGCCAAATATTCTAACAAATTATCTTATATATAATATTTTTTTAGGTACAGTACGTTAAATCCATGTGTACTACAAAAAAAAAAAAAAAAATAGGCTTAAGAGTATGCAAAATTTTCATTTTTTACCATACAATAGCATAAAAAAAATTAAACTGATTATCCTGTGCATTAGCATCATTACCTACTTATTTGTAAAGTTATTTTTTTTTATCGACGAAACTTTAAAACAAAATGAAACTCTTTAATAGGTAACCAAATGAGGAGGAGCATAGCTTACAGAAGGAAAAAAAGTTAGAGGGCTAAATAATAATATCTTAAAATACAACCAGCGAGGAAAGGAGAACAAAAAAAATTCAAATCATTTTTTGACATTTGATGATAAAGTTGAATATGAATAATGATGCAATTCATGAAAAAAATAACTTTATATACAGAGATTTGGTTTAAAATTGTTCTAGCCTATCGAATTTCTAATACTTAAAAGTTAATTAAGCGAATAAAAGTATTAAATAATCTATAACTAATTAATTTTTATGAGTTTTTCTTTTTGAACAAACAATTTCTTGTAAGTTGTAACATATCTTTAGTAGTTTTATGTAGTACAATCAGAATGGGTTACAAGGATTATTTTTATGGATTATAATCATTATTTAGTAAATAGTGATTTATAAATTTCAAAATTAAGTGAAAAATTCAAACTATGCATTCAAAATTGCAGAGGCATATTAAGCGTCGATCATTTGTTCTAACACACTTGCCGGTTCCTCTCCATAATTGTAAGCACAAAGCGGTACACGAGCCAACACCACAATCTGTTTCTGGTAAAATCTCATGACACATGGTTTGTCCTTGAATCTCATTCACCATCGATCCTGTAAAAGTAATATTTGAAACACAAACACCAAGTTATCAATTTTCATGGTAGTAAAATTACATGATTTTATAACAGAACTAGAGATTGTAAAAAAAAAAACCTAGAATAAGAATGATGTAAACAAAAAAAAAAAGGGAATTTAGTCATTTTTAAGATAATTGGAGTTTACAAAAATAATAAGAGTAGTGGTAGTGTATAATGAAGTATCACACACAGACACACACACACATATATATATATATATATATACATGCATATATTATCAATTTGATATTTTCTCCTTGCGTATATATTTTACTAAAAACATATGGATTTGATACTATCCATATGTTTTTAGTAAAATATATACACAAGTGGAAAGTATCAATTTGATATAAACCTAGTCAAGTTTCTAAAAAAAAAAAAAAAAAAAAAAAAAAAAAAAAAACTAGTCGAATCTGTTTTTAGATTTTTGTTCAAAAAAAAAAAGAATTACAAACAAGTAAAGATAACTATTTTTGTATTTTACTCTATATCAAATTAATATTTTGTTCTTTTTTCATTTCAAATATTGTATGTTCTGTTTTTGGTATAATAGTTTCAATTTTTTTTATTTATTATGGAACAGTACTGAAATAATTAGATATAGAGAGGTAAAATCAGATTAAATGTCAAAATTGCAATGAAGTCAATTGTATAGTTTATCTAAGATTATAAAATAATCCTACGGTTTGAATCGTTTGGTAATGTTGAAAATGTTTGACACAGGTATATATCTCGTCTCGTCTTTCTAAAGCTCCAAACGAAAATTATTAAAAGCGTGTGACTATAGTCAATACTTGCATTTATTGGATTGAGTCATATTGGTCTATAAATACAATATAAAAATTGATTAATATGAAAGTAGGTCAATAATTCAGATGGTTAACCACAACAACATAATTTTAATGATTCCTAATCACCCCAAGTCCCCAACAAACCAAACCCATTCCTCTCTATAGTCTACTCATTTCTTGTGTATTTAATTTTTTTTTTTTTTGACAGATCTTGTGTATTTAATTATTGCAATGAAACATACGAGAAAATATTCAATAAAGTTCGGCTTATAATATTCAAAAAATGGCCAAACCACGTTTTCACTTCCTAGAAAATGAATCTACTCAATTACTGAAATCCATCTCAGACCCATGACAATTCCACTATATATGACCATACGTTTTTTAGTAAATAATCATAATTTTATTGCTTTTCTAACCGTGGACATTTTACTATCTTCTATCTATTTTGGCCTTTCGAATTCGACATTGGAATTTGGAAGTGTAACTCTCGACAAGAAACTTGAAACCAAATAACCAATCTCCAATTCCGCATCAAACGACCAATCTGGATTTTTTCTAAATATCTTGGAGCGTTGACGCCAAGGAACAAACCCGTGGTACAAGTCAAAGATGCAGCTACATTAAACAATTGCTCTCAGAAGTACCCGCAAATCAAAACATATATACAAGTGTAAAGTGTTTCAATCGAGTAATTTTTTGCAATAATGAACAATATATCGGCATTGGGGAATACTCGACATAGCGAATAAACTCACATTTATAGAAACACGAAGGGCAATGTCAGGGCCTAAGATCAGGCCGAAAGGGATGGACAGGAAAAGCTTGGTCGAAAAAAGAAAGGAAGAGATTAGTAATGGGCCGGAAAGGCCCAGTTCAAAATATGGTCGTTAGAGGTTGGTTACGAAAAACAGAGTTCAGCGTGAAAGTATCTTCTTCAGATTATATCAGCCTTCTCTTTTGGTCCCAAAAGAGTGATATATTGGAACTCAACGATGATATATTATTATTACCCACAGCTAACAATGTTGTGCAGACAAAACATGTATTGTATAATATATCAAACGTATTATTACAAACTTAGAAGACAAGTTAAAAGAGTTTTAAATATCACAACTTGGCTGCAGCAGAAAAAAGAGTTTTTTTTAAAAAAATTATTATTACCATTTGGAAGACTACAAGACAAGGGAACAATAGAAAACGCATCCCCGGGAGCCAACGGTGAAACTATCTGCTGCTCCGGTGGGTGCGGGTGCTGCTTCTGCGGGTTGTCGGTGCCGGTGCGGTGGATGAAAGCAAACCTTGAGAAGGTCTAATTGCGGCACGACGAAGCTGTTCCTCACCTTGTTCAATTTTAATCCGAAATTCACGCTCATTAGAAGTCGCTTTCTTCAGATCTGCTTTTGTCATGCTAAGGCGAAGCAAGGCAGCTTGGAGCTCATCAAATCGGATTGAAACAGTCGCTTCACGTGTACCACGACGATGCCCCTCATGTCCGACAGTAACGATATCTGTCTCTGATCGGCATGATGATGATTAGGAGAAGGACTTGGGCCGAACTGAAGCGAACCTCGAGCAAATGTCATCCCTGCATGACGAAGCTGGCTCTTAACTTGTTCAAAACGAGTCTCAGCTTTAAGCTCTTTAGAAAGCATAGCCTCTAGCTTTTTCTCTAACAAAGTATGTTCAGTCCAGGCATCTTCATGCTGCCTAATTTCCACTGCAACGTAGCGACGATCCGAACGCTCCTCACCTCTGCCTACAATGATCGCGTTCTGGGGAGCGGGACCATGGTCCACTCTCCTGGGAGCGGGTGCAGGGTCTGCTGTTTGGGAACGACGTCGAGGCTCCACTGCTCGGACTGCATGGTTCATAATGAAAACACTTTAAAACAATATTTTGTAATGAAAGAAAAACACTACTATAATCAAAGATGAACAACTTATAAAAACATACTAGGAGATGGATTTGTATACTATTCCCTACGCAGCCTACTCTATATATGTACCTGCGAAACTGGTAGGTTCGATGGACGCCACGTGTCCTCGACTATAATCAACGGTGCTCTCGGGACCAATTTTGCTACCACAAAATATCTTACGTTTTTTTATTTGTTTCCCTAAGTCTAGTCAAAATACGCAAGCAAATTGATCTCTAGATGTCTCCTTTCATACTTTTTTGTATATATATATATATACAAAGTCATTAACAACCACAAAAAAATATAGCGAGTTGGGATAAAAAACACAATGAGGGGAAGAAAGGGGAGCTCTTTTCTCCATTATTTACTTATTTCATTGGAACAACTAGTTCTTCCAAAGATAATACATCACCAACAATACGTCATTCTTCACACGTCATCTTAAGTCACAACATCACAATAATTGTCATCAATGAATGTTTCGTCAGTCTTTTACAATTCGAGTTCTAAGGATTACCTAACCATAAGTTGGGTTTAATCCTTTTTTGACAAGGTTACTCACAGTGGAAAGTTTGAATGTATGTTTTCATGTAATGGGTCCGGTAACAGGCGGTAGGTAAGTTAATGACATAAAGCGGTGAGAAATTTTAGAGATAAAAAAGAGTGGCAAATGATATTTGCAGGTTAGATTCGATTCCATGGGTTTGATCTACATTTTTTGTTTTTTGGTAATTGAGGGCAAACTTGCAACAAACGAATTGGCTTTTGTCAATTTGTCTTTAAACTTCCTTTACGGCTTGTGTAATTTGAATACAGTTTTGTGTTGGCTTGAGATGCAGAAATAATGTTGAAATGTTGTCCCAAAGTAAGCTCCATCAATGTCTGTTCATCATTTTAAGGAAAACCCCCCAAAAGATCTATAGAAACTCAAAAATAATCATTGCTTTATGCAATAAGAATCAAACATATATCAGTTTTTAGAATTGCATATAAAAATATGTACCATCAACAAGAAGTGAATGTGTGGAACAAAAAAAAAGAATACTGCCTTGATATTTTGACCATGTGTAATGAATATCTTTGCATTTCGAGCAATATACTAATATAGCTTCACCGTACTTGATATTTTGTTGTTTCTTATTTGATATCTAAACTTACGTACTCTTGACCAAAGAAAAATTAAAAAATTCATATTCCGACTTTCAAAAGAGCATTTTTTATGATAAATATTGGTGGATAAAACTAGTAGAGGTAAAAAAGAGCAATTTTAATAATAAATGACTAAATCTGACAACAAAATATAAAAAAGGTAGAAAAATACATGTTCAAGTTTTTAACAAACTCATCAAAAGATTTTCGCTTTTTTTTTTTTCCTAACCATGCTTTTGCTTTCTTCTAATGTGTATGAATGCTCTCTTCACCATTCGTGTGATTACAGCGCGTTTATTTCCCGTTTCTGTTCACACACGTCTCTTCTTTTCTCAGTTCTATTCCAACGCCATGATCTTGATTCTTGGGTTGTCTTTAAACTTCCTTCACGGCTTATGTAATTTGAACCCAAAAACTCTTTGAACATAGTTTTGTGTTGCCTTTGATGGCTTGAGATGCCCATAAGTCATCAGGAACAGATGAGGAAATGTTGTCCCAAAGTAAGCTCCATCAATGTCTGTTCATTGGTTTAAGGAAAACACACAAAAAAGGTAACACCTGCAAGATCTCTAGAAACTCAAAAGAAAATCATTGTTTTATGCAATAAGAATCAAACATCAGAGTTTTCAGAACTGCATTTATAAGCAGAAGTGAGAGTGTAGAAAAAAGGATACTGCCTTGATACTTTGATCGTGGGTAATAAATGTCTTCGCATTTCGGGCAATATATCTTCACAGTGCTAGATCGAGGTAAGTCCGATTGACCAACCGGAAGACAAGGTTGGCCACAGCAATAAACTCTTGGGCATCTTCCAAAGTCATAGTTTTTGTATTTGTCTAACTACAAATAGATAGAATCAATCTATGCATCTTTTATAGAATGTTCAATATATGCAAATGAGTGTTGCAGGATTTTCTATACCATTGCAGCCAACCCTTTGCTAGTCAATATGTAACGAGCGTGAATCAATCCATAAAGCATCTCAGCTGCTGACTCGATCAATTCATTCTGTTCCTCTGTAAACATCTCTCCTGTTACCGACGGACCCAATCCAAATCAAACATTCAAGAGACAATCGTAAAAGCGAACCCATATTGGTTTCACTACTATCCCTAAATGCAGATTCTGTACCTAGCTAAACCGGAAAATCTCCTAAACGACAGTAAAACATATAATAACAACTTACCATGAGAAGATTCAACATCCAAAATCAAATCAAGAGCGTACTCGTAGTACGGAACAAGACTGCTGAGTCCACACAAGTTAAAGTCATCTTGAATATAATCATCATCAACTTCACAAAAGAACTCGTTTCCTCGTAGATTACAAAACCAAGATATCCATGAAGTGTCCTCTCCATCAGAACCACTAACATCTGATTCTTCACTATCCGTGTCTGATTCATCTACCCACAAACACAATTCATCAGTCACATCAAAAAATCCCATAGACTAACAAATGAACTTGCTTAAACATAAAGATCAAAACTTGATTCCCAAATCAGGAAACCCTAGGGTTAGGTTAAGTCTCCTAATTCAACAGAACAGAAATATTTCCAAATAGAGAGAGACTAACCATCAGAAACATTATTGTTCTTCGAGAGAGAAGCAGAACGAGAATCTCTATGGTCATGAGACTGCTGCTTCCCAATCAAAACGGAGTTCGCCGTCGCCGCCGTTCCTTTGCCTTTACCATTAACTTGACGAGACGTTGACGGAGAAGGTCGTTCGAGAGCGTCGTTGATCCGTTTACGATCCACAACTTCAGGTCTCGAATTCACCGTTCCTCTGTCTCTATACATGATTCTAAAATACCTAATGAATCTCTCTCTTACAGCTATTGTACAACTTTCACCGGCTTAAAATCGCCGGTGAGAGATTGAGAAATCGACGGCGATTAGCTTGAGCTCTAGGGTTTTGCTTTTTTGTCGAATCTTGTTCTTTCGCGTTTCGCAACTAGCCTCTGTTTGGTACAGAGAAAGATTACTATTTATTTTTTGGTCACCGTTTAATGTTTAATTCAAAAAAAAAAGGGGTAAAATGGGAAATAGAGATAATTAAAAGTTCCCGGAGACGAGGGAGTGGAGAGCGGTAGAAAGTAGTAGTGGCCACTGGGAGAGAGATAGGTCGAACCAACCACTAACTTCTGGTTCAATAAGAATTGGAAAGTAAGATTAGTATTCTACTTTCTTTTTGAGTAAAAATTACAATTTACGGTAGAAATATGCTCACTTTACAAAAAAACCGTCAGGTGAACATAAATTCTTTACATAACAAAATAAAAGATTTTGTATTTTTTTGCACATACATTATTACAGTCTGAAATCAAATAGTTATATTTAGATAATTTTTTAAAAATTTATTTGCTAATTATAATCTTGTATGTCATGTATATGTTTTTCTGCCTATTATTTGTTTTAAAATGACCGATTTGGACGAGAGCGACGAGCAGAAACGCACCCTCAATCCTTGGGAAAATTGCAGCTCTGGCCACGGTCTTTCACATGTGGAAACAACCAGGGCCGGCGCAGAGGGCAAGCCACCGAAGCTACCGATTAGGGCCTCAAAATTTGAGGGCCTTTTTATCTAAAAATTTGTTAAGTTTTCTTATATACATAATTTTTGTAGGGCCTTTTAAAAATATTGTTGGCTTTTAGAGACAACTACAACATTCTTTTTAATGGTAATCATCTAATTTAAAAGAATTTTTTTTTTATGGCTTTAATTTTGCTTAGGGTACCCAAATTTACCGGGCCGGCACTGGAAACAACGAATCAATGCTCTCCATAACAGTCAGTCTCTTACAGTCTTACACCATCGATCATCTTCAAGCTTATAGACAGAGAGATCAAGAACACAATAGTTTCGAGAAGACACAAGCGTCATTTTAGAAATTTAATGACTTGTTAACTACGCTAATCTCCCAAGATTATCCCAGTTTTATGTATCCTTGTTTTTTTAACTTTTTTTTGGGCAAGGCTACAAAGACTTAGGTTAAGCTTTATTGTATAACCTAAACTTTTCATTTTGATTAATGATACTTACATTCATATAAAAAAAATGACCGATTTGTCTTTTACCAATTTATCTCATCCAAAATATAAATTAGCGGTTTAGTTAAGAAGGCCCAAGAAAGCCCAACAGGTGCTGAAGACCGCCAAAGTGCATCTCACGTGAGCAGCACATGAACGAGACGATTTACATCATTCTTTTTTAGTCGGTCGGTCGAGTCCGAGAGGAGGATTTTAATCTCATTGGCTCCTTTGGAGAGAATCATTTTTTACAAAATCCCTCTTTATTCTCATTACCCCCTTTCCTTCTCAATTTTTCCATAAACCAACTTTACCTCTTATCCCTTTAATTCTACATTTAATTTAATATCAACATATTTTTTATTCAACCAATCAAAAACTTTCTCTTTCTTCTCTCATTAAAAAACAAACCTACCAAATGTCTCACATTTTAAGACATTAAACGTACGAGACTTTTGTTCACAAAAAAAAAAACGTACGAGACTTTCTTCTCTTCTTCTTCTTCTTCAATAGCTCCGACGTTACAGCTCCGACGTTGCAGCTCCGACGTTCTTCTTCTTCTTCTTCTTCTTCTTCTCCATCTACCATTGAAGTTCACCATTAAAGCTTGCATCTCCAAAGACATATTTCTTCTCTTCTTCTTCTTGTATTCCCAACATACTGTAAGGTAAGTATACTTTTTCTTAGTGTAGTATGATTAAGTTGAATTCGTAGCTTGAATAGGGTTATTTGTTGAAATATTTTAGGATTGCAGATTTGGGACAACTGAAACCACTGGGTACAACTAAGTAGTTACGGAAACCCTAAGTTTGGTACAACTGGGACAAATGCGTACAACTATGTTGATGGTCTGCTACAAAAGTTATGAAATTATAGGCCGTTTTTTTCTCTTTCTTTTTCAGGGACAATGAAGAGGTCGCAGAGATCGAGCGTTTTGGGCGAGTGATTTACTAATGATGATGACGTTGATGGAGACGATGCGGGTGACCAAAATTGATTTTCGAGTGCCATTTATTAGGATAATTTAAGAAACGATGTTGTTTGTGAAACTTATATGGTTTGTGTTGTACAACTAAGTTTTACAAGTACAACTATTGTTGATTTTCTTCTCGTATCTGTGCAAATTTTGTCAGTCTTGGTACAACTAAGTACCATAGGTACAACTAAGGTCTATTGCATTGGCCAATTTTTAGAATTTTATATAATTTGAAAATTTAAAACCAAACTAAAACAACTTAAAAAATGCATACACGATGGTAATGAAACTACACAACAAGTTTTTGACAAAAAATTTCATATTTTTAAAAAATACTAAAATTCTTACTCAAAATCCCACATTCATACACTAACAACCTTATACTTTCATGGTTACTTTGTAGATTTGAACTAAAAATTTATAAATTTTTGAAATACTTGTATTTTGATAAATATAAATACACAGATACATAGTAATGGTATTTTTATGAGGCAATACCATCGGTTCCACCCACAAAAATTAAATTAGAGTTGATAACAACTAGATTTACTAAAATCTCTATATTGTACAACTATGAGAAAAAATGTGCAACCGAGTACAACTGTACAACTATGAACAAATTTGTGCTATTTTTTAAATTATTTTTTTTCAAAATAACGGTGCCAGGTACGCCTTTTGTCAGATCTTTTTAGATATTTAGATATTTCAAGATATTTCACTGTTTTTTTTTTAATCAAAAACCTTACAAACCTACATATTTGTCAGATTTTTTTGAATAATTTAGATTATTTTTTTGGTTCAAAACCCTTAGATTACATTCAATATTTAGATTCATACATAAAAATATTAAGATCTGATTCAAAGATTCATACATAATTAGATTCAGATTCAAAAATTTATAAACATAGTTGTACGTGATCGTACCAGTTGTACCTAAACACTTAGATTTATACATAACCTTAGAAACCAAATTACAAACCGAACAATTGTTACTAAAAACCATACAATATATCTAAAACCACCAACAGACCTTCTCCTTCCTCTTTTCATTCGTATACGGTTTGCTGACATGAATTGGAGGCTTAACTATCCTTTTGAATTACAATTAACATTTCTTTTGGAGATTTGCCGGCGACGTGAGTAGAGTAGATCTCTGAGAGGAGAACGACGGAGGGATTCAGTGGGTTCTTCGAATTCGTCGTTCTTTTTCTTTGAGAGAGAAAAGGAAAAAATTAAGGTGAATCGCCAAATGTTGTTCTCAAATTCTCTTCTTCATTGTCTATTATTTGATTTGGGCTTCTTCTCTATTTCTTTGACGACCTACTTATAATTGAAATCTGCAACAAAAAAACAAACAAGAAACTTCCATATAAAAATCCTAAGTCTTTGATAATAATTCCAATCAAAGCAAATCAAATTTGGCAAAAACATAATTAGATTTTCTTGATGATACGAGGAACAACAAGAGAAGGGTATGAACTCTTGATACCAGATAACCAATCTCTAGAGAACAGCAAGTCAATCTCAAAACAAAAATTTTCTATTTAGAATTAAAACATCCTAACCTTAAGATCATTCTGAGTTCTCTCCCGATCCAATAATCTTCTTGTAGATTGACATAGCAAGGGGAAGAAGAGCCATGAGAGCAATCTGCAACTGTTATGAGCTGTTGGTTCGGACAGTGAAACGCCCATTCCTCTTGCTGTCAAGATTTACAAAAGTTGTTACCTTTGTTTGTCCTCCAACAGAGAGGATCTTGATGTCGTATATTGGCTTTGACGAGAGTAGCGTAGATCTACGAGAGAAAAACGGCGGAAAGATTCGGTGAATTCTTCAAGTTCTTCGTTCTTCTTCGAGAGAGAAAAGGAAAAGAAAAAAAAAGATTAGGGATTCTTTTCAGATTGTCGATTTTGAGAATTTGAGATTAAAAGATCCGACAATGAAACCCAACATAGATGGAATATAGATCCAAACTTAGGTTGGATATGTAATTATGTCCAAAAGCCTAAATTTTATTGTCTTTTACCAATTATTCGAGTTAAAATAAATAACTAAGGGGGCTAAATAGAGAATCTTTTGAGAAGAGGGGCGGACGAGATTAAAATCCAGAGGAGGAGAACAATGGAAGAGAAGAAGACGATGGAAGGAACACCAATGAAAGCCACGGCGGCGGAAGAAATAACGGCGAGATTGTCTTCTCTCGACAACCTCTATTTTCCACGCGCCGTCCAATTAACCGCCGCATCTTCCGACCAACGCAAATCCATCCTCCTCGACCTCCTCCGTCGTGATCCCGCCGTTTTTCTCGGTACTTTCCATTATTCTGCTCCAATTCTCAATTCTAATTCTAAGTATTGGTGTTGTACTACCGATTTCTTCATGGCTATGCGGAATTTGATTTAGGAACTGAAACATTAGTTGTTTGCTTTTGATTTCAGAGAGATATGGATCGGAGCTACTAGTAGATGAATTGCTTGAGTTTGATGCTATGAAACATGACTACGAGGTTGATTGGCACTTGAAAAACCTGCGGAAGAAGATAAGTCCGACTTCGGAAGAGCTTAAATCTAGGTGTGTTGCTGTGAGGAATAGAAGATTGGCTTACTTGAATAAGCTTGTATCCGAGGGGCAGTATTTCTCTGAGGATGCTATGAGAGATAGAGAGCCTTATCTACATCATGAGTATGTTGGGAAGTTTCAGGATGTGATGGGTAGGAATATGGCTAGGCCTGGAGAACGTTGGTCTGAGACGTTGATGAGAAGGGCAGAGGAAGCGGTTTTGGTTACTCGGATTAGAGAGGAGCAGCAGAGGTTAGGTGTTGCAGAGAGTGATTGGATTGGTAATGAGAAGATGGAGGAATCAGAAGAAGAAGAAGAAGAGGAAGAGGAGGAAGAAGAGGAATCGGAAGAAGATGAAGAAGCGAAGAATCCTACAGAAGCTAGCTCAAGCCTTGAACAGGTATGCTGTTTGTTGGTTCAAAGATCATTAATATCTCATTTTAGATTTGTTCTTTACTTTATTGTGGTGCAGAACACTCAATTCACATCTTAGCTTGTCGAATATTTTCAGGTTACGGATATCAATGGAACATTGCATGATAGAGAACATAACAACAAGGCAACAACCGTCTTACCGCCGGAGGAGATGCAAGATATGATGGAGCAGTTCACATCAATCATGCAACAGAAGTTCTTATCGGGAGAAGATCATCAACATTTGGATTACACAAAGATAGACAATGACGAGACTCTTGATGATCATTGGCTTCGAGAGATTGGCCTTGACGCTGAAGATAAGTACTTTGGTGAAGACTAATGGACACAGTCAAATAACCATACCTGGTCTATGTAAGATATGATCTCTCCTCTCTTATTTCTTTACCTGCAATAATGCTTGGCCTTGACGCTGAAGATAAGTACTTTGGTGAAGACTAATGGACACAGTCAAATAACCATACCTGGGCTTAAACGAACAATTTGGTTTGATCGGTTTACACTCAATTTTACACCAATAGTCATCAACAAGAGAGCAAGTGAAAGATATTTGAATGCGAGTAATGTTTGATTCATTTCTAGGCAGTCCAGGTGAGAAATGCTCTCTGTCATTTATCCTAATAATCACATTGTACTACACTGCGTCTTATTCCATGGCTCATGGTAGTTGCATAATCGCTTTCTTAAGATATAAGCTACAGGAGAAATGGTTGAGCAGGAGCTTGAGCTCTGCACTCTATTAATACAGATTATGCCACTGGGATCATCTACAATCATCATCAATTCTGCTTAGAAATAAAATTAAAATGAACCAGAAATCTGGTGAGTGCAAAGAAGAAACTGAATTCTGTGGCCTAAGACGTTTAGTTCCACTACCTGTCTCTACTTATATGATGCTTATGCTCTGACCCTCTTCCTTTCCGCACCATCTTCTTGGGGTCTGTACTGGATCTAATTTTCTCTTCTCCTCTTTTGCCTCTTCCCTCAAGTATATTCTTAGCTTTCCCTATAGAAGCTGTTTCAGCTGGACCTAGGTGAAGCTTGTGCATATTGCTGTGTATATCTCTGGGCGCCTCTTTACCTCTCGAGCCGAGTTCTTGGCTCTCTAATCGACTTGATGCTCCCTTGGAACTGCTCTCTTGGTCGAAGAAGAGGGCTTGGACGACCGTTCTTAGTGGCATCCTCTCATTTTTCACAGCGTGTGCACGTACCTCTGCAGACAATTTCTGGCAGTCAAGACTTCGGCATAGTTGTTTCTTCTCTTCTTTGCCTATCTCGGGATGTACCTGCAATGTAACCAATGTTTTTCAGTTCCAAATACTGTAATCCATTTTCTGTTCATAAAATGGATGATTGCAAAAAGTAGACTGGTGTGACTTTCAATTATAGCTTCTTGTCCTTCTGATACCTTGAGATATATGTTGATGGCTTTGTAAAGTCTGTCATGGCTCTCGCGTGCAATGTCGGGCACTGCCTCAGCAAGAGACAAGAATTTGGTAAATGACATATGGACATCTTGTGCGACTGCCTGAAGATAGGAATCAATAAGCTTAGCCACCTTCCTGATTGAATGCAGCAATTGACTGTTGTTACTAGAAACATGCGCAGAAGACTGTCTTCTCCAGAGCATTAAAAAACTCTCAAGAACTGTAGCAACCAAGTCAGTATCATAGCGATGGTGATGAGAGGATGAGTGTGAACGCAACAAGAGGTCTTCAAGATTTGCCTCCTCGAGTTGCAGACCAGCTTTTCTAATTAACTCAGTTTTTGTTGTGAGAGATGCTCCCACATAACTCGCTATGCTAACAAGTCTCAGCAGAAAACCCTCTGAAACCGACCCTTTATCTGCAGGAATCATATTCACAACTGTGTTAACAACCCGCCGATGCCTTTCCAGTGCTGCTTCGTTTTCTTTAACAGAGAAACCTGAATGACTGTTTGATTTGAAGTATGGTAACCAACGGCAGGTGTATACATGCAAAGCTTCACCAATGAGCTGAGGCTGCAGCGTGAAGGTTGACCTTGCTGCTGTGATAACACAGCGGAATAAGTCCAAGTCAAGGTCTGATATGTCTTCTGTCCACCAGTCTCTTGGAACAGAGTGGTGCTGTCTCTTTGCATAGCCTGGTCTGGTGTATGTATGAGACCAGGAGACCTGCAAAAGGAAAATAAAGATCAAATGGATGTGCAAGAAAATCATCTGGACACAAAGAGAAAATTGAACAAACCTCTGCAATTGGAGTAAGGATCTTCTCCACAATTGAATCTACACACTTTCTGATGATTCCAAGATTCTCACACCATTCTGGCAATTTGGCAGTGGACTGCAAAGTGACAATGGAGTCCTTCCAACCTTGGAGAACGCAGGAGTGGAAGAAAGCTTCAAGCTTTGGTAACAGATTTCCCTTCTCAACAGAATCAGACATCCGGAGAAATTTGGAGGCACAGAGCACATTCACAAGGTTATGAGCACTGAGGTTGATGGTGATGCCGTAACAGAACTTGGCACACAGCTCAAAAGCATCGGCACCCCCAGGTATGTCATTCAGCTCTATGGTAACAGTATCAGACTCCTCTGAATCAGTGCAAAGCCTTTGCAACAGCCCACACTTTGGAACAAGAGAAGACTGCAGAGAAATATGGAAACCACTATAACATACATGTATAACATATATAAATATATGTGGGCTGCTATGAGAATAAAGTCATTCGAGATATATACTCTGTGGAGATGATAAGTGGTGTTGTTGATTCTAATAACGAGATCGTTGGGTGTGTCTGTTATCAAAATCCTGCAGTGTAAATAATTTTATTAGAGAAATGCGATTTTGGGTATGTAGAGGCATGGAGATGAAGGAACAAAACCTTGAAGCCTCTTGAGTGTAGAAAGTGTCAGGCTTTGTCCCGATTTTCATGAACTTCATCTTAGACTTCTCTGCGATCAAGAGGAATATATCATGAGAAAGTGATCAAAACTTTAGGTCACAAGGGGAAAGAAAGGAAGAGAATTGAAAATATTGAAGCTCAAGTTTTGTTATCTGTATTGCTAAATGATACAATCAAACCTGTAGTTTATGATAATAAACCAAAAGAGTAAGAAAAACGAAAAAGATCAAGCAAAAAGATGATTGATTTACCATGAAAAACTGGTGTGCTCAAAGGTTAATATGAGGGAGGAAGAAGGAGAAGAGAGAGAGAGAAATGTTAAAGTGGTAATGATCAAATTGACATAAAATCCCAAGAGAGAGAGAGAGTTGAATGGCAACAAGGGTCCCGGCCTCGTCACTTGTTGCTCCCCGCATGGACTGAGTCTCCAAATGGTGTCTGATATTTATTTCCTTCATACTTCGTTTTGGTTTCAAAATGAAAACCAGAAAATTTGGCTCTGCATATCTAGTAGCTATAAGTTGAAAAGAGGTATATTGTGTGGTGTTAAAAGGGTTGAGGTGGGTAAAGTATATCAAGAAAGTATCCACAACACTAAAATAAAATTAAAAAAGCCAGACACAAGTGTCCTTCATGCATTCCATCTTTTGCATCAGGAAAACAACTTCTCACCTAACCAGAAAGAAAGTGAGAAAACAAAAGTGGGTCTTACACCTTTCCCTACTTAGAATTAAATTACAAGAGAGTTTACTCTTATGATTAAATTACAATGGACCACACTAGGAGTTAGGAGTTGGATAGGCTTAACTCAAAAGAGATTTTTTAAATTTGGTTGCAGCACAATTAGCTTCTTTCTTCTTTATATTATATATATGTCATAAAGCAAAGATGCATGGATCCCCAGACAAATACCTTCCCCCACAACTTTAAAGCATCAGAGCAAGATTACCATTTTTACAAGTGTTTTGCTTGTTGTCCATTTCCCCTATGGAATCTCTGTTTTGTGGGGGAGGAGGAAGTCAACCCACATCATTAGTGTGCTATTTTAATAATGCAAAAAAGGTAAAAAGGTGAAAAAGAATGGGAGGAGAGGTATTTGAGTACAAATGTCCTCTTCTGATGGAATTGGTCTGCCTTGAGGAGAGAATTGTAAGTCAGTAATGGTCAAAATCAATGCACTCCATTTGCATTGGCCCTACTCAGAAACATCCAATTCACAATAAACAGCCAAAAAAGCTCCAAAGTTAAACAAAGACAAGTTTAAGTTACATACCACAAGTCCATTATCAAACGCATCCATAGCTCTTCGTTCGTTTTTATCAAAACTCTCAACAACACCATCCTATGAGACTTTCCCTCCAGCAACAACACTAACTGTATCCCTTGATAAGTCCATAATAAAAAATGCATTAGCATGATCATACAAACTCAGAAACATCCAATTCACAAGAAACGAAACAAACCCCAAAAATGATTTACTAATTTCTTAACAACTCTTCTAACACAATACATTCGAATAACTGTTTCATTAGCTAAAAATTTGACCAAAAGAGCTAAATTACAAACTGTTCCATAGTGCTGGACTTTAACGCTATCTACTCAAGAAATTGTAATAGGCAGCAGCAAACAAGTGAAGCTTACAAGGAGATTGTGATCGATTTGGAGGCCACAAGAATCAAACTGCAACGAATCAGAAGGAGCAGAGACGCATCGGAGCTGAAACTTTCGTTCTGGGAAACCACCATTTCGGAAACTAAAGGAGCAACGGCAAAGAACTGTTCCGTTGTAGAGACACGAAAGCAGAGCAGTAGCAGAAGCAGTACTGGTGTCTAACACATGAATCTCATAATCATGAATAATACACATACACCATTTAAAAGTGAATTTCGTTGAAACTCCTTATAAATATGACAGAGAGAGTTCTTGCGGACATCTTTATCAGCCTTAAATAATTCGTAAATAATAAGTAACCAAAGAATCCTATTGTAGCAGCACAGATCCTAAGGAAGAATCAAGTAATCTATTAGAATTAGGGGGAGGGAGCTTCAAGATCACTGAGAACTTTGTGTGCAGGAGATATTATCAAAGAGGTAGAAGATTGACTGACTCCATTAGCAGAGGATGCTGATATATTTTCGTGACAAAATAAAATAATGTCCACTGTCCAAGTCGCTTCCACGCCTGCCTCTGCCAAAAAATATTAAAATCTAAATCAATAAGAAAATTAATGCAACAAAGTTAAATTTTTAGAACAGAATTACATTGTTTTTAAATGTTTTCATTTTTTGTAAAACCCATAACCATAAAGTGTACATAGGGATATCAAGAATAATCTCTCAACCAAAACTAACATGAAATTGTGTTGGTGATTTGGACTTGTAAAGTAATGAAATCACTCTCTTTATCATAAGATATATAGCGCTTATGGTAACTCCGGATTCATTGCTTACACCAATGATCACCATTGTTGCATGTAAAGAGATAGAGAGAGGAGAGATCATATCTTACATAGACAAAGTATGGTATTTGACTGTGTCCATTAGTCTTCTTCACCAAAGTACTTTTCTTCAGCGTCAAGGCCAATCTCTCGAAGCCAATGATCATCAAGAGTCTCGTCATTGTTTAACTCTGTGTAATCCAAATGTTGATGATCTTCTCCCGATAAGAACTTTTGTTGCATGATTGATGTGAAGTTGTGAACTGATCCATCATATCTTGCATCACCTCTGGCGGTAAGACTGTTTGCCTTGTTGTTCTGTTCTCTATCATGCAAGATATCCGTAGCCTGAAAATGTTCGACAAGCTAAGATGTGAACCAGGGTTTTGCAGTACAATTTAGTAACCAACAAATCTATAATGAGATATTCATGATCTTGGAACCAACACACAGCAAAATAAAACAAGTTACCTTTCAAAGGCTTGAGCTAGATTCTGGAGTATTCTTCGCTTCTTCCTCTTCTTCTTCCTCTTCCTTCTCTTCTTTTGATTCCTCCTCTCTAATCCGAGTAACCAACTTTGCTTCCTCTGCCCGTCTCATCAACGTCTCTGACCAACGTTCTGCAGGCCTAGCCATGTTCCTTCCCATTAAACCCTGACGGTTCCCGACATACTCGTGTGTATATACGGCTCTCTATCTCTCATAGCATCCTCTGAGAAATTATGTCCTTCTGATATAAGCTTATTCAAGTACTAGACAGCTACAGACCTCAGCTCTTCTGAGGTCGAACTTATCTTCTTCCGCAGGTTTTTCAAGTGCCAATCAACCTTGTAGACATGTTCAAAAGCATCAAACTCAAGCAACTCATCTACACTCAGCTCCAATCCATATCGCTCTGAAATCAAAGCGAACAACAACTAATGCTTCAGTTCCAAAATCAAAGTCTAATAATGTTTCAGTTTAAGAAAACGCACTACACACTCAATACTTAGATGATGATTAAAGAAGGCAAAAACTCATCGAACTATAGAATCCCACATAGCCATGCTTAGAGCTCAATTTGCTTGCTGCTGCCATTGGATAGACAAAGAGGAAACAACATACCAATGCCCTGGAATGGGACGTAGACATTAGAGAAGAAGAAGAGTGTTCAAAATCAGTCAGACACCAAACAGATCGTCGTTATCATCTTCTTCACCAACCCCTCTGCATTCAATTTCTTCTTTAACTTTAGATGCTGGTTCACTCACAGAAGCCCATGACGTACCAACGGCCTTGGCAAGTGAGTCACCACCATAAAGATCATCATAAATCCCTCTTTTTGGACCCCCTTTTAACATATTCATAGCTTCCTGGAGTCGATCCGTCACACCTCTGGTTCCTGTAAAGGCTTTCTCTTCCTTCACTTTGCCTTTGGGTATGAGTGTCACTTGCACCAGTGATTCATATTTCCCAACGAGGCTTCCTTCTTTGACATTTATAGGACCAGGCTCTGTTTCCACGTCTGCTCCATCTGACATGCCAACAATCTCAGCCAGCTCTCCTCCAAGTTGATCCCTGAAGCTCACTCTCACATTCTTCATCCTCTTAGCCACTCCGGCTTCTGATCCGGTATTCTCTTTCCTTTTACCTAACACAGAACCCGATTCTCCATCGCTTAAACCATATCGATTCAGCAAAGTATTGTATGCAACAAGAGCTTCCTCATCAGAAGCATCAGGAGGTGGGGGAAGCTTAATCTGAGGGCGAGAAAAGAGAGCCTCACTGTTCTTCCTCAAAAGGTAGATTCTTGTAGAGGCAGCAAATCGTAAGGATTGACCTACTTCAAGCTCTACAGGAGTATCTTTAGTCAATCTCTCATTAGCAACAAAGGTACCATGAGCTGATCCCAAGTCAATCACAAAGATACTACCATTCTTGTGAGGAACAACGGCGGCATGTTGGCGTGAAACAGACTGATGATCAAGCACATAATCACAAGTCTGATGTTGTCTCCCGAAGATATGACTCCGTCTATCTAGATGAATCCGATCAAGGATCTGGCCGTCTTTCACAACCTCCAGAGAGTAGACACCGGCACGAGGCTCAATCGCCCAATCAGGTGGGTGCCAGTTTGATTGACCAGCTCCAATCTGAGTTTTCCCCGATAATGCCGCAGACGAATGTTGTACCACCACCGGAGGAGGATTTGCTGATACAGAGAATGGTTCCGAGGTTTCGGACTTCTTAAACCTGTCGAGCCCAGATCTTCTTCCATACATTTCTTCTCGAATCTCTCTCAAAGCAAAGCACTCCCAAATTTAGTACAGACCTAATTAGGGTTTCAAACTCAGAAAAATGGAATAAATTTACAACCTCAGTCCCTGTACTTTATGTATTCTCTCCAAAACATACCCGTTTGTTTCATTAGTGAATTTCACATCCTTATTCATCACAACGATTCCACTCGTGGTCAATATTATGTATGTAGTCATAGCATCAACAAGAATCTCAAGTTCATATAAATGATGAAAGAAGAAGATCAGAGTCACGAAACAAATACAATTGTAACACAAGAATCAGAGTGAAATCAGAACAAACAACGAAGAATCAAAAAAGACATAACAAGAAATCTTTTTGAGGGCTGAGACTACAACTACTTCTGCCTCTTGTAGATCTTAGCCAAGAAGGATTTTAGCACTGCTTGGATTGCTGTACTTTTGTGACCCTCAATCACTCCCATCAGCTTCTCATAGCTTTTGCTCTCATACTCCATGAACACTCCCTATTATCAAAACCACATCCAATTAGCATATGTTACTTGTGTCTATTAAACATCATATCTCTCACATTCCACTGGTTTCAAACCTCAAGATCAAGCTCTTTGTAGAGATCCTTCACTTTAGCAACGTTTGATGGGTCGGCTTTACCATAATTCTCCTAGGAAATCAGAACAAAACAAACATGTTTCAGGTTCCAAACCTTTTTTTTATAAAAGATGTATGTATGTATGCTTCTTACATATAATATCTTAGTTTGTTCTTCGCTGCAGCGTTCTAATGCCTTGACCACCAACCACGAGCATTTGAAATCTTCTATATCCGTTCCTATCTGCATTATAAAAACATCAAGTGAGCACAGTAATACATTCAGATCAGCCTGAGAAACCACCAAGTGTAAGAAGGAGTGGAAACCTTGCCAAGCGTCTCGGGATCAGCAAAACAATCCAGATAATCATCCTACTCAAAAGAACAGATATCAAACCAGTACCCTGTCATATAGCTCTCATGAATACTTAACAGCAAACTAGTAGTACCTGCACTTGGAAGTAGATTCCCATGTCAACAAGAACATTCTTCACATCAATATGGTTTTCCAAATTTTCACCCGCCATAAGCAATGCACAAGCAACCTGAATGAAAAACACAGCTTGTCACGGGATCTACAATTGCAATGATGGAGATAAAAGGAATAAGCATGATTGCTTTCTATATTGTGAACCCAAGTACGACTAGGGAGGGAGAAAATTCATGCTCACAGGGAGATAAAACGAGTAATAAGCCGTTTTGTACTGGACAATACGCCGGTGACTGCATGTTGAAAACCATTTCATCAGGTCAGAAAACTCACTGCCTTTCATCTCATCAACCATCAGAAGAAACCATTTATACTATTTTTGAAAATGCCCACACTAGACTCACATTGACAATGAGTACTTGGACAAATCCTTTTCGCCTTCAAAGGTGGTGATCAAATCTATCATCTGGCCACAAGCTGTTTGCAACTCAACCTAGACAGCAAAAGGAAAATATTCCTAATGCTTAACAGTTATGGAAAGAGTATAGATAGTAGATCTGCCCAAAAAAAAAAAAAAGATTACCTCATTAAACAAATCAACGAGGTCAACATAGTAAGGCATTCCCCGGAAGTGCTTTTTGAGAATCCTGTGGATGTGATTGCGTAGCAGAATCCCATCGTTGATGGCAACCATACCAACCTGTAACATTGTGTTAAAGAGTAGTCTAGTGGACTTAAAACATTGAGAAGAAAAAAATGAAAGAACTTACCTGAGGTACTCTGAACCAGCAAGGTTGGCCACGGCGGGTGACAGAGTTATCCATAATGTCATCAAGTACAAGGAAATAAGCTTGAAGCTGCAAAGATAATGAATAGGATGATGAGTGATAGAGACATATATATAGAGAGAGAGAGAGAGAGATGGAGAGGAGGGTATCTATTACTAAATAGAGATTGAAAGGAGAAGTCTTTATCATTCTTATACCCATTCAATGCACCAACCGAGAGCACAAGAGAGAAAAACCTCTTGCTCAGTCAAATCTTTGCCTTCCTTCAAAAGTTTGAAGCTGTCAACAACGGAGAGACCGCGATTGAGTTTCCCTGGAGAATGAGAAGAAGTAATAAGTGTGAGAAAAAAAGAGATTAGATCGATGGAAAGCGAGAGAGAGAGAGTCTCTGACCTCCACGTACATTGTAGTCGAGCATCTGCAAAGAAAGAGAGAATCAAGAAATGGGAGTAAGTGGATCGGATAAGGATCTGATGAGATCAAGGAGAAGAAGGGTACATACACGTTCAACCCAGAGACGAGATTCATCGGTGAATTCGAAGGAAGGGTCGTGAAGGAGGTCGGACTTGAGAACGGAATAAACGTTGAGAAAGGTTGACTTGAGATCGGCCTCCATTGAAGAAGAGCTTTGGATACGACGACGATAGATACTCACACCAAGCCTCCTCTGATGTAAAGGTCGAGCCTTTATTATTGTCTTCCCCAGATTCCTACAACTCACACTCATTCGTCCTTCTTCCCACAAAACACCCCTTCTCTTTCTTCCTTATTTACTACTTTTGCCATCCCCCCAACACATTCGGACTGACTTTCTGTCCCAGTTGTTACATTTGTCTTTGTCATGTCAAGCCAAGAAACATATGACAAGTGTTCTGTTTTTTTTTTTTTTAATGATTCAAAATAGTAATGGGCTCGATAGAACGGTGTCGTTTGCAAGAAGAAGAAATGAAAATCACTCGAGACTCTCGTTTATCATAAGACTAGATATGGACCCGGGCGTTGCCCGGGTTGCCGGTCGAAATTATCATTTTCTTTTATTTTGTAAAAATGCAGCATAAATTATAAAAATTTGTCCATTGAATATTTTTTCTATACATAAAATTCATAATTTATAATTTTTTTTAAAAACAATTATGGCATTGTTTTTTTTTGATAATACATGTTTAAACTAGATTTTAACCCGCGGTACACCGCGGGGCTATATTTTCTTAAAAAAATCAAAATATAATTTGTTTGATAGATTATTTTGATTGTTAATTTTAGGATTTCACCCGTGGTATACTATCTTTTATAAATATCAACCCAAACCCGTCCCATCATATTACCCGTCCCGTGAAATTAAACATCATTTAGTTATTTTTCTTTTTAATAATACTTTTATTTAAAAGCTATATAATTCAAGTCAATTTAAAAATTTCTTTTAAATGGTTCCCATAAGATATATATATACATATATATTAAATTTGTATAGAGTTGAAATAATATTAATATTACAAACTTTTTATATAATTTAAATATTATAAATATTTTTAAAAATATGCAATATATATTTTTTGTTATTGAATAAGAGGATATTATGTGTAAGAAATGTAGAAAATAAGAGTTTAATATTTTTATTATGGAGTCGCAAGAAAAATCTTTTATTTCTATACATGTTATTCGTTTATTAATAATAAAAGAAAACAAATCCTTTAAATTAGATATTAACTAAAATAAACGCACCATAATTACTTATTAAGTAACAACCAATAAATTTCACCAAAAAATAGGTAACAACCAATAAATTCTAAACGCAGTAATTAAAGAATGAGATATTAAAAAAAATATCAAATAAGATATAAGAATCTTAAAATAATTGAATATCTAAATAATTTAATTGTTAGTGTCGATTTTAATGCCTTCATTAATGTGGATTTTTTTTTATACAGAGAAATATTTCCTAAAGATTATCACATTAATGACTCAGAAAATTAAGGAAGATATGAATTTATGATTCTCGAAATCGTGTTGGTAATATCTTTAATTAATATTTTTCAAATTTAAATAATTAATGCCAATGGCATTCATCCGTAAATACATTCCAACTCCAGGATTTATTTGCTAAAAGTCATCCAAAAATGTATATATAGATTTTGTAGTAAAAATTTGGCAAGATGCAGTTTTAAACGTATTATTTGAATTATGGAAACCATATAAAACTGTTCATAAAACTGATAGCGATTAATTACCAAATCAAAAAGAGTTAATTCTCATTTAAAACAATTAATAAGTCAATTATAACTCATTTACAGCAACGAAAGAAAGAGATAATAGCCCAATAGGCCCATGTTGTTTTTTTTTTGGTAAGGGCCCATGTTGTTAATTAAACAACTCGTACAGATTTTCCAAGAAAAAGAAAAATAAAAACGATTCGAAGATGTAGAGCTAGAAGACGACTCAATGATCAAAATTGAAAATTGCTGTCCTAAAATTAGGAAGAAAATTTGGTGCCTGAAGCATGAGGTTTACCCGCTTGAGGTCAGGGCCGGCTCTGTTTTGACGCATCATCACCTCCGATTCTCAGGTTATTTGTTAGTTCATATCTATTCTCTTACCCACATCTCCGGTTGGTATGATTTTTTGCAAAAAATGGGATAGTCTCTTAATCTGGTTCTGTTTTGAATTTTATGTGTTGTTGGGAACTCTCGAATGAATTGTAAGTTTGTTTGACCTTTTTTCTGTTATAGGGTTTGGTTTGTGTATTGGTTTTGTCGGATTAGATTGTTCTGAATAGGAGAAAGGATTTATATATTTTTTTGTAAGTGTTAGAGACTTTAGAGTTTTGTGACAGTAGCCAATTAGAAACCAAGTGGAATTTGAAAGTATGAGTAGCTGTGAGATCCAGAAGCTGCTTCAGCTTTTATTATTGCATATAGTTTATGCTGAACGTTTTATTTCGATTGTATTTTATTTCATATTGCAAAGAATGTGTTATTGATAAATATCTTGAAGTTAAGACACTGTGTGATAAAAATAAAACATGAAACCCAAAGCAAACATGTAACGTTCTTGAAAAGAATTAATGGACAATTGTATTATCGAAACTTGAAATCTGGAAACTAAAACAAATTGTAGATATAACTGTATAAGCTCTGATTTTCATCTCTCTATGAGGATCATATGTTGTTGAAAACTTCTTGATAGACAATATTTTGTAGAACACTACTATCATAGTGTTTTGTCCCAACTTTAAGAATCTGAAGTCCTGCAGTTGTAGTGACTCTTGATAGTGCGAACAAATAAGTCTCTCCTATGATTGTACGTAAACTTTTGGGAATGCCTTTCAACTCTTCTTCCCCGGAGTTTCTTTTGATCTGCGTGTCAACATTCATTTAATTGTTAATTAATCGAAATTTATGTCAACCTAAATAATATGTACATATAACTATATAGTTCTTACGTCTTCAGCAGTTGTTCCCGTGATTTGTGAACCATCTTGGTCAAATATAACCAAAGTTGCAGAGTCGTCTCCATCATCTACTATTACTTCAATTTTGAAACTGAAAATATATAATGGCTTAATATAGTGTGGAAACTTAATAATAACTTTTTTTTAACTTAATAATAACTTAGTATATATATGAGCATATATATAGGTAGTAGATATTAAAATATAACGAATAATACCTTAGGACTCCTACGGATTGTGATGTTTTACCACATTTTTGGCAATTAAGCGATGATCCTGACTTTTCCAATTTTGTTGAGCAAGTTGAACATGATATGTAATTCCAACCCTTACGTAACACAATATCAGTAATAGTTGCTTTACACACAAAAATCTTTTTCTGCAATTTAAAAGTGTGGAAATATGTTAGAAATATTTGAGCATCGTATAGACTTAATACCATATCTTCATAAGCTGGGAAATTATTATTTGCATGTAGTTGTATTACCTGAGGGACGTCGGATGAGATAAATTCCCAAATATCATTTATTGAATGTAGTGGTTCAGAACACCTAATAATCATTGGAGCTTGTTCAATCATGCTGCCAAGGTTAACTAAGCAACCACCATCGTAGCTGAAACTAATAATTACAACAAATAGTTAGTTTTAATTTAAATTGATTTTTAACTAATTAGATAAATCTCAAATATATATATTAATAAAGTACCTTTTTCGAAAGGTAGTAACAGGATCAAATTCACGGCTCAAATAGAATTTGGTTCCAGAAGATGCCGACAAACAAATTGCACCTTGATATGTCTTGATAAGAACACTTGTCATGATGAGAACAATGTTATCGCTTCCCACAACACGGTATTTATCTTCCAATTGTTCTACTTGTTCTGCTTGTTCTGCTTGTTCTGCTTGTTCTGCCCATATTGTTGCTGTAATTTCCATTCCACTATATATAATAAGTAAAAAGACTGTTTGTTAGCCAAAACAAAGGTACATATGATATAACTAAAATTCTAAATTTCTCATTATTAAAGTAAAGAGATTATTAAAGTCAAGAGATGAAGAGATCCAGGAAAAAATACGTACCCTTCTAACAATAAAGGTAGGGTAACCCTTCTTAGAGTAGGTGTATCATGAGTACGAACATCAGATTTTTTGATTTTTTTTATGTAGCCAATTACATCTGGATGGAAAAACAACGTTTAATATAAATAAATCTATATTTATAAAAAATTGAAATTTAAAATTCAGAATATTTACCGTATAAATGTTGTGTCATATCTTTCAATTTAGCAAGATCCTCATGATTTCTAAATCGAAAATTTTCGAGGGATATTTTGCAAAAATTTTGATCGACGGATGTGATTGTCGTTCTTTCTGTTAGTATCATCTGAAATTTATGATCGGAGACCTTGTAGTTCTTATTGCAATCTTGCACATTAAAGTTGCAAATTTCGATAAGACTTCCTTCACATAACTGAGCTCCAAATTTTTCAATAAGAAAATGATGTACAGAGCCTTGAATTGTATTTTCCTGTTTTGAAATAAATAAAAATTAAAGAAATTAAATAGGAGAATATTTAGGTTTAATGAATAAAATAAAATACATTAAAAATTTACCTTTTCATCAAGTAAGAGGAAATTTATTCCTATGAGCTCATTGTTTTTTTTAAATTTCGCGCTTCCCACTTTCTTGTTAAACGTACTACCATTCGACGATAGGAACGCTTTTTGTTAAGCTGATCTATTGTTATGTAATCTTTGTTGGTATGTTGAACTTGTGTCTTCATCTTTTGATAGCTATTCTGAATTTTCTTTAAAAAAAAGTAAAAAGTAATTAAATTTAAGTAATAACCAAAAACAATATGTATGTAAAACGTGAAAACATAATCTTAGTTACGTAAAGTTAATGTATTGACAACGACTTGGTTAGTAAATATATAAATATAACATATGCATGATACGTATTGGCAAAGACTTGGAATATAACGTAGACTTAGGTTTGTAAACAGATTAATATAACGTAGCCACGTAGGCATCATACCTATTGACAAAACAGAATGATGTTGAAGCAATGGTGTAAGCAATTGTATTTTTTTGAAGAGATTTTTGATTTGGTGAAAAAGTAGGAGACTATCTATTTGTTTATATAGTAGTGAGTACTTAGAATAATTATCTTTTTTAGAATTGTTAATTTCCTTATAATTATCTTTTTTACTTTTTAAAATTTGATTTTTTTACAATTTTTTTAAAACTGACAAAAGGAAATTATCGTTTTACATATTTTTATTCAATAAGATTGTTTAAAATTATCTTATTTTATTTACACTATAATAATTATTTTATTTACATTTTTAAAATTATTTAGTTTCCTTATAATTATCCTTTTTTACTTTTTAAAATTAATTTCTTACAATTATCTTTTTATAGTTTTTAAATTAATAAAAAGAAATTTTCGTTTCACACGTGTCACGATCTGAGATCGATAAAATTGTCACATGTCACGATCCTATGAGTTATTAACTTTGAAAACCATACTTTATATAATAAGATTGATTATCCCATCAAACTTTCGATGTGGGACTTAGATTGTATCTCCAACAGAGAAATACATACCTGAACGAACTCGCTATAGACATCTGCTTTGACTAGCGCATCAAATGCATCACATACGAGACCGGGCATCTACAAAAAAAATAAAATACACACAAACCAAACATTGTTGTTACTGTGATTATTGATTCAAATCATAGAAAAGGTTAAGATATATAGAGGAAATTATAAAAAACCTGTCCACCACATGTAGGTCTAGAATTCAAAGATATGAATATGTATATGAACACAAGAATAAGAATGACTCTCTTTATTACTTTAGGAAAATCTCTCAAAACCTAAAGCTCACACAATCTCTCTTAACTCTTGAATTCATAAGTTGTATCACAAACTAGATACCTCCTTATATAGGAAAACTCTTCAACCTAATCCCAACTCAATTAGGTCTAATATTAGATAACTCCTAATATTATTATTCTAGATAACTCCTAGAATATTTCCTAAACTTTATCTCTTGATTAACTTATTTCTTAAGTTAATATCAAGCTTAAACTAACATTCTCCTCCTTAAGCTTGAACACAACTTTTTCAACATCTTGAACTCCAATGAGGTCCCTCATTTCCTTGAACTTGATTTTTCCAAGAACCTTTGTCAAAATGTCCGCCTTTTGTTCATCTCCCGGAACATGCATCACCTCTATTTGCCCACTCTCAACACATTCTCGTATGAAGTGGTATCGCCTATGAATATGTTTGCTTCGACCGTGAAAGACCGGGTTCTTTGTAAGGGCGATTGCTGATTTGTTGTCTATCAAAATGACAACCTTCTCACACGAACTTCCAGTGATCTCTCCGAGTAACTCTTGAAGCCAAATCGCTTGTCTTGCCGCCTCAGTCCCTGCCATGAATTCTGCCACACAAGAAGATAGAGCTACTGTTTCTTGTTTTTGAGAACACGAAGAAATTGGACTCTCTCCAAGATAGAATATGTGACCAGCAGTACTTCTTCCATCATCCGGATCGACGTTATGGCTGCTGTCACTATACCCTACAAGCTTTGGTATTTTCAAAGAAGAGCAGCGACCAAATGTTAGCCCGAGTGTGGTAGTTCCTTGTAAGTACCTTAAGCAATGCTTCATTGCGTGTCCATGTGATTCTCTTGGACTTTGCATGTATCGACTAAGTACTCCTACGCAGTAAGACAGGTCGGGTCTCGTATGGAGTAGATAGCGAAGACAACCAACATTCCTCCTATAAGCCGTAGCATTGATTTCTTTCTCATTCTCTGCTTTGGACAATTTTAAACCAGACTCCATTGGTGTTTGTGTCGAGTTGCAATCTTTCATCCCAGCCTCTTCTAAGATCTTTAACGCATAACGTTTTTGATTCAGCACAATTCCTCCTTCTTGTTGACATACTTCAATGCCAAGGTAGTATGTCAATCTTCCAAGGTCACTCATCTCAAACTTCAAGGCCATCTCTGTTTTGAACTTCTTAATAACTCCTATGTTTGTTCCTGTGACAAACAAATCATCCACATACACGGCTAGAAACAAGAGATCTTTTCCTACAGCTTTGCGATACACCGAAGGTTCTTTTGAACATTTCTTGAATTGAAGCTCCATAAGAATCTGATTTAACTTGTTATTCCAAGCTCTTGGTGCTTGTCTTAAGCCATACAGAGCTTTGTTTAACTTGTACACTTTAGTTTCAGATCCTTTCTCCACAAATCCCTCAGGTTGCGTGACATAGACGGTTTCCTTTAACTCTCCATGAAGAAACGCGGTTTTAACGTCAAAATGGTGTATCTCCCATCCACTAGAAGCTGCGAGATTCATGAGAATGCGTATTGTTTCAATTCTAGCAACCGGAGCAAAAACTTCTTCAAAATCAACTCCATATTGTTGTACATATCCCTTTGCAACTAAACGAGCCTTATACTTGTTCACACTCCCATCAGAATTTTTCTTGAGTTTAAAGACCCATTTTAAACCAATAGACTTCACTCCATCGGGAAGATTCACGAGATCCCAAGTGTGATTTTTCTTGATAGAATTTATCTCATCCTCACACGCAAGTATCCACTGTTTTTGTCTTATTTGCCTCTGTGAAATTTGTTGGTTCATTGTTTAAGCACAACAGTAGTCTCTCACCTTCTTCTTCAGCGAGTAAAACGTAGTCTTCAAGATATTTTGGCTTTGTGACTTGTCTCTCTGTTCTTCTTAGTACTAGTTGCGGCTCATTATGAACTTCCTCACTCTCTGTTTCATGTTCTTGTGATTCTACGGAGACACCATCATTGATTCCCTCATCGTGATTTTCATCCACATTCTCATCAACACACTCTGTTTGCTCTGCTTCCCCTGTTTCTGAGTTCTCACTTATTTCTTGAATGCCACGATTACCAAATTCACCAAGTTTAAGACTGAAAGTTCCATCATGACTTAGTTCTGCAGCTTTATGATTCCAGTTCCAACCCTTTGTCTCATCGAAAACAACATCTCTACTCACCACTATCTTTCGGCTTTGTTGATCAAGCATGCGGTATGCTTTTGAACCCGGTTCAGTGCCTAGGTGAACAAGCATACGTGATCTATCATCAAGTTTTCTCAAATGAGGCATTTCTACTTTAGCATATCCAATGCAACCAAACGTACGAAGATGATCTATGTTTGGTCTTTTTCCACGAAACGCTTCATATGGAGTTTTGTCCGAGAGTGCTCTTGTAGCTATCCTATTAAGCAAGTAGGTTGAGTGCCTTATTGCTTCTCCCCAAAGATAGTTTGGCATATGCATATGTTTCATCATACTCCTTGTCATCTCCATTAGGGTCCTATTTCGTCTCTCAACCACACCATTTTGTTGAGGAGTATACGGAGCAGTGAGATGTCTTCTTATCCCCGAGTCTTCGCAAAAAGAATTGAATTCTTGTGAGACAAATTCTCCTCCTCTATCTGTTCGAAACGTTTGTATGCTTGTTCCTGACTCTTGTTCTACCAAAGATTTAAATTTCTTGAATTTGTTAAACGCGTCTCCCTTCTCCTTCAATAGAACAGTCCACATGTACCTAGAGTGGTCATCAATCAAAACAAAAATGTATTTGTTTCCTGCAGTTGTACATGGTGTTATCGGACCGCAAAGATCTCCATGTACTAACTCAAGTACTTTGCTTGCTCGATACGCAGTGGCTTGTGGAAAGACTTGTCTAGTTTGTTTCCCAAGTAAACAAGATCCACAGATTTCATTCTCAATGTTTAGTTTCGGGATTCCTATCACAAGTTCTCTTTGTATCATAGATTTTATGGTTTCATGATTGACGTGTCCCAGCCTTGCGTGCCACCGACTAGACTCACTCATTGTTGTTAGGAGTAAACAAGTAGTGTTTCTCA